AATACTATTCAGCAAACAAAAAAGATAAACTCATGCCATTTGCACCAACATGGATGGAGCTGGAAGGGATTATGCTCAGTGAAATAAGCCAGAAGGACAAAGAAAAATATTGGATGGTTTCGCTTATTGGAGGAATATAGGGGAACCAAATAAGGGATCAGAAAAAAATAACAATAATAATAATAAATTAAAAGAAAAAACAAAATTACCAGGCAACTATAAATCAGAGACATTCTGCAAGGGAGTGGGAGGCACAGGGATCAAAACAGGGAAGGGAAGAGCACATGGGACTATGGCAATGGTGCAAGAGTGGCTTGGTAGTGGGAATTTTATGGGGATTACATGTGAGAGGAGAAAGCATACACGCATACATTGTACAAAAATGAACAATGATAAAAAAATGTAAATAAATATTTTTTAAAAAAGGATTAGTTGCTATTACCACTACCATGCAGTAGTGGCAGGCAGCTCTGGACCTCTGCTGGACTACTCCTGTAAAATTTGCTGAAGTAAGCAGGTAGCTTACTCCTAAGAGGAAGAAGGAGGGAAAGAGCTGGGTGTCTCGGGCCAGGTTCTCTTTACAAATCTACACAGGGGAGGAGAGAGAAGCTAGGAGTTTTGTGGGGCTGAAGTCCCACTAGATGGAATGAAGCACGTGTTTCCCCTCAGAGCCTCTCAGAAGCCCTGTTCTAGAAGCTGTTCTTTTCTGCTCAAGCGTTTGTCATCAGGAAAATTTGGCTTAATAATTGGGAATTATTACAGGATTTTTTTGCTTTTTGATCCTAGAAATTGATCATATAAGGAAAGACTGAAGGCATCAGATTGTTTGGTCCAGAAATCCACTGCATGATGCTCCCTAATAGAGGAGGAAAGGCAGATAGGGAGGTGGCGCTGGTAAGTGTGTAAGATTCAGGTGTCCTCGTGATAGGTGTTTCCTTTCCCTTTTTTTTTCAATTTAATTTTTATTTTTATATTCCCCATACAATTACAACCCCCTTATTTTGACCCCAAGCCCTCCTTTCCCCGCCCCCCGTAGAATGTCTCTGGTTCATAGTTGTTTGCTGATTTTGATATTTTCTTTCTTATAGTTATTCATTTTCCTGGTCCCTTATTTAAGTTTTCTAGATTCTTGCTTTGAGTGAGAGGGGAAGGCTGAAACTACAGCATGTTACCATAATTAGAATTATCGTTGATCATGAATAATTCTCCATCATCATTATTATCATCATGTTCGTGATCTGATTGTAATAAGTAATACTTAATTGTTTTAAAAAATTCTATGAACTAGCAGACATCAATAACAAAACTGAAGTTTCTGAAGTTAAAAGGGAAGGACAAGGAAGGGTCGGGAGTATATAAAGGATGCTGGTGGGGGCAAAATAGAAAAAATGATAAACAGATAGGAAGACAAAGGACAGATTTCAAAACAAGAAAGGGTATCAGTAACATTTTCACTAACTCAGTAGCACTTTTTTTTATCTCTAAAGCCATTTAAAGACAGTCATATATATTATTTTAACTGATTTCCCGGTTCTCTTATCACACATTTAATCCTGTACCTTACAGGCAAAGAGAATAAATACCAAAATTCTTCATGGAATACTTAATGAGACTGCACAAGTAACAATGTGACTATTAACAGAGATGCTAAGAAATCATATCTAGTGATTCACAGATACTTATATTCTACAGTTGGTGAGAAAAAGTAGGATCAAAGATCAAGTTCCGTTTCACCTCTTTGTCAGTAAGCATCGCCACGTCACTCTGGCCCTAAAAACAACAGTCTTCCTTTTGTTAGGGGGAAAGGATGTCCTGAGATAATCTCATACAGGCTTTGTGGACTCCACCCCCAGTCAGGCACCCCGTTTTGTATCGGGGTTGCTCTACAACACTTTCATTGGTACTATTTCTTTGTGTCAAGTTCCAACATTACTTGTCCTTAATCAACTATCTCAAAAAAGAAATTATTGCCACTTTCATTTCCCAAATTTTTTTTAAACTACTCAACCCTCTATAAACTGACTTCTGGTCCCTAAAAAGTCACCAACAACTTCTCAAAATATCAATCAATCAGACTGATTTTCTATGATTCTGTGCCTTAGATAGCAAAAGTAGGAAGGGTCTCTGAGTACATAGTGTCCTTTTCAGACTGCTCCAGCCTGCTAAAGGTCACTGTGTTTTTGGAAGTTCATGGAGATTTAATGTCTTCAAGAAATGCTTTACATTTCAGAAAGAGGTGGAGTCATTGTAGTTCTTCAATTTCAATCAGCTGGTGTGACTTTAGATAAGTCATTTGTCCTCTTTGGACCTAATTGCTTCATCTTTACAGAAGGGGCTTGGATGGAATCTTCACGGTTCATTCCAAAGTTCACCATCTCTAATTCCATATTTTGATTTATGCTAATGAACCCGACTAGTAGTGTTTCCCTGATCTTAAGTCTTAGTGTAAAAGAGGGGCTTTTTAATCAAGAGTGTACTTTTGCTATCTGAACCATTAGTAACAGAAAATGTGAGATTTTTGTTGTTGATGGGAGTGGTATGGGGCAGACAGAACTTCTCGTGCCCCTTCTCCCACACTAATTCTAACAGCCTAAGTTTCAGGACCAATCTAGTGCTGAGCATAATAGATCCTGAAAACACTTTTATTAATTTGCAACTCTAGCTTTTAAGACTAAAATCCACTCATGATTTCACTGAAGCAGTATCGGTAAGGTTTTTTGCTTGTTTTCCTATAGTATATTAAAAAAGGCTTTCAGGAACGCCCTTTCTTGGAATGCAAGGTTGCCATTATCTTTTGGTTAACACCCTCAGATGTGGTTTTGAATTCACCCCCAGAAGCTGAGCACCTGTTACGGTGAGCCCGGCCTGTGCTGGGTAAAGGAGGTGCAAGATGAACAGGAATGGTCCTTGCACTCAGCAAGAGGGGATGTGAGAAAGCTTAAAGAAAGTAACATCTGAGTAGAGTTTTAGAGAGAAGGTAAAAGGAGCAAATCAGATAAAAACAAGAAGGCCTAACAGAGAGCAGGATAGCAGGAGCAAGGCCCGAGATAGGAGACGACTGGGAACCACAGAGCAACTGAATGTGTCTGTGTCCTAGGGAAGAGGTTGAAGCTGAGATAGACAGGCAGGCAGAGGCCAGCTTTGAAGGGCCTGTATCTCTGCTAAGGAGTTTAGACTTCTCCTGAAGGTAAGGGGGGCGGGGACAGTGGGTGAGAACAGTGTCACCCAAGTTATTTCAGCCCATGTGTGACTTGTCCTAGGAATCTGGCAGGGGTGCTGTCTGGGTTGGAGAATGAAGTTCTTTCCAGCCTGTCTTCTAAATTGAGGCCCTTAGGACAGTCATGGGCTTTTCCAAAGAGAACAGCGAACAGCCCATCAGAGGACAGTCAGGACAGGAGCCCTGGAGGGACATGTAGTGAGAGTGGTTGTTGGATATTTCACCTCAGGTTAAAAAGAAAAACGTGGGGCCTCCCCGGTGGCGCAGCAGTTGAGTGCTGGGTTGCGAAGCTGCCTGCAGCCTCTGCAGTGTTGGTTTGATCCCCGGCCGCCGGGGAGGGTCCCGCATGGCGCGCAGACCTCTCCCGCCGCCTGCTGCTCCCCTCAGCAGTGTACTTCGGTCCTTCTGCCTGCTCTGCTCCCCGCTCTGGCTCTGGTGAATTCTCTCACCCTCCCGCGCTTCTGACTGTACCCAGTGCTTGTATAAATAAATAAATAAATCTTTAAATAAAAAAAAAAAAGAAAAAAAGAAAAACGTGTCTAATGACTAGCAATGGGTCTCATATTAAATGATTTCCTCAGGGAGGGTTTCTCTCCCCAGAATAGCTTAGCTCTCCTGGTGCCTAACGTTCCCATAGCACCCTGACATTGTCCCCTGACAGTCATCACTCTTTCCAGGCCCATTTTCCTCAGGACTCTTGGCTCCTGGAGAGCAGAAATTTTCATCTCATTTACTGCTCCCTCCCCAGTTGTTTGTCTGGTGCCTGGCACAAGATGCTCAAAAACTATTTCCTGAATTAAGAATAAGAGTCATGTTGGAGGTATGATTAGAGACGGGAAGTAGGGGAATATGATTTTCTTTCTGGTAGGCCACCCTACCAGAGGAAACCCAGAGGACAAAGAGGTCCCTAAAGCAGACAGTGTTTTAATCAGGACTGTCATGTGCTCACTAGATATATTTCACTCTGGTGTGCCTTTATTTCCTCACTTGTGAGGTGAGGTGTCCCAACAAAAATGACTGCTAGGGTCTCTCCTAATCCTAACAGTTTATGAATAAAAAGATAGTCTATGCTTGTCACGCATCTCCTTCTAGGGCTTCTGTTTGTCAGAAAGATATGACTACTGTCAAGCTACTGAAGACCACAGTTTGCTTTTATGTATTTATTTTTAAAAAAGATTTATTTATTCATGCAGATGAGAACTGGGGTGAGGCCAGATGTGCAAGAGGTGAGAGGATTCACCAGAGACAGAGTGGGGAGCAGAACAGGCAGACTGACTGAAATACACTGCTGAGGGGAGCAGCGGGCGAGACAGGAGAGGTCTGCTGAGCCATGTGGGAATCTCCCTGGCCGGCTGGTAATCGAACCCACGCTGCAGAGGCTGCGGACAGCTTCACAGCGCTGTGCTCAACCCACTGTGCCACCAGGGAGGCCCCCAGAGCTTGCTTTTAGCCTGAGAAATCAAAGGAATTTTTACAAAGGTGCAAGATATCTCAACAGAGCGGGTAGATCTGGGCTATTTGGAATTCATTCTGGTAATTAGTTCTTACTTTCAGAATATGAGTTAAACCGAATTCTAATTACTTTCAGAAAAAGCAAGATTTTTTTCAGAAAGAGAAGAGAGTGAGAACCAGCCCTTTCTCACCTGAGGACAGGGCCCTCAGAGCTGCTGCCAGGATCCTTCCCCCAGTGCCCATGTGCACAGCAGAGCGGCTGCGGGGAGGTGCTGAGTGTGAGGACGTCTCTGAAGGGGGAAACCCAACCAGCAACCAGTAAGCTACTCACCGGAGGTCTCTTCCAGACGAACTGGATGGGAAACTTCTGGCTATAAAAGAGAGAGGTCTCATCCGGTGGGAACTCAGGATCCAGATAAAGAACCTTCTTTTCTAGACATTTCTTGTGCAGTTGCTCAAATGTCTTCTCTTTAACTCCGATAATAGGAAAATTGCGGCTGATGATAGCTGAATAGATGCCGCTTGGGTTTCCTCCCCCTGCCTCGGTGGTCTTCCCATGGGCTGGCTGGGGAACTGGCCCTGGGGATCTGGGCTCAGCTCCTGTCCGGGGGGCCACAGACGGGCTAATGACGGTCGGCATGGCAGGCTATTTTGAAAGGAAAAGGTTTTTAAAGAAAACAAGATACAGCTACCTTCAAGGAAAGGAAGCAACTGTAAAGGGGAAGTTGGATGGATTCTGTCATCTGCAAGAAAAATGTCCACATCCAGTTCAACGTTTAAAGTCCATTAGAAGGTTGTCCAGCGTATGTCCATCTTAAAACCTGAGTTGTGGTCCCAAAGCCATAGTTTTCCTGAGAAAGGAGCACTGAAGGATTTCTACAATTTTTGCTGGGGGGCTCCTATCAGCAGCCAGAGGGAGAGAGAGAGAGAGAGAGACAGAGAGACAGAGAGAGAGAGAGAGAGTAAGGGTTGTGTTTCAGTAGCCTGAAGAAGCTTGAGCCAGGAAAACTAAAAATAGATGTGAAGATCATGAGTCTGAGAACAGGAGAGAGGCTAGCCTGCAGCTAGACTGCATGGTGGAGGGAGCAGGACCTAGCTGGGGACATTTCTGTGTTGCCATTAAATACTGGTATTGTCAGGGAATATCTGAGGACATTGAGCAGGTTAATATGTGAATACCCTGGACATTAAAAGTTAGCAAGTAACTGTTGATGTGTTATTAAATAGGGAGTTATACAGATTATCAAGATATTGGCCACCGGGTTAGTGGAAAGCAATAATGAAAAAGGCTAACAAGGGTGAACATGAGATACTGAATTCCAAAGAATATCCTAGGTATTTTTGAAAACATGATATTTGCTTTCTAAAACTCTAGGACATCAGAACATTCTGTTGGACTTGGCATCTCTTCTAGAATGTTCTGGTGTCAACATTGTATGGAACTGCCTGCATGGAAAATGCTACTCACCAGAGTCCTCTGTTGAAAAAAATTACTGTGTCTTTGTACCCACTTGACCTAGTCACTGCTGTCTCCCCATCCTCAAAATAAAGTGAGACCAAATCTGCTACAAAGTGTGCACCTGGGAACAGATTATCTAGGCTGCCATATTAGGCGTCTGAGTCAGAAGCTGGTGTTGGAAACTGAGCCACACTGGATGTCAAGTCCTAGGATGTTCTACCTAAAGAGTTGGCTTCAGGACTCTTTGAGAACACAAGTGGCTTGGGGGAAAGAAGTTGCCTGCCTGGCCTCTGTTTTGTGGTCTCTCCAGGGTAGCTGCTACTCAGCAGTAAGGAGATGGCCATATTCCAAGTGTGATTGAGCAGAGGCTTGTCCCAGTCTATAGCTCTGCCTGTTTGCATGTTATCAATCTCATTGATCTGAGGCTGAGTGAGGATAGGATGTGATGACTGAAATAGGGAGCATTACCAGAATTGTGATCCCTGGTATTGTGAATTTTAGGAGCCTTATGTCTGTAGGACTGGCAGCCTATCCTCCTGTCCCTCTAAGGAAACCTTTACTGCTCCTGGACAGGCAGAACAGATGAGGCAGCCTCTAAAGGCTGAGTGCTGAGATCCGAAGTCTGGGCCTGCTGCTCACTGGCTCTGCCTATGGGTTACTACATCCTTTCTTCCTTGTCTCAGTTTTCTCACCTGTGAAATGGGTATAGTGATAGTCATTCCATGTTGAGTTGTAAGAATGAAACAAGTTAATTTATGTAACATTTAAATGGTGCCAGAATTGCCTTACTCAATATATCTTGTTAGAGGGGACTCCCTGGTGGCGCAAATGGTTGAGACACAACCTGTGAAGCCATCCACGGCCACTGCAGCACGAGTTCGATCCCCAGCCAGGGAGCTACCCACATGGTGCAGCAGACCTCTCCTGTCTCGCCTGCTGCTCCCCTCAGCAGCGTGTTTCAGTCAGTCTGCCTGTTCTGCTCCCCACTCTGTCTCTGGTGAGTCCTCTCACCCCACACACCTCTGGCCTGTACCCTAGTTCTTGTATGCATAAATAAATAAATCTTTTTTTAAAAAAAAGAGGTGCAGCCTCCCCAGGCTCATGGTCAGCATCTCTCATCAGGGGTGTGCCTGTCTCCCTGCACTAAAAGTTTCTTATTTGCCTTGGGGGAGGATCTGTCTCTGGGCCACACAAGCTGACCTTTCTTTCTTTGGCAAAGTTAGCTCCATCGGTTAGTAACTAAGATGAGTATGTGGAAAGAGTGAGCCTCTTGTCACAGCAGGATGGGAATATCAGAGTGCAGCTGGGGGCTATTCATTTTGCTCTACCAATCGTTTGGGCTAAACCCAGCAACTCAGATTAGCAGGTCCAAATTCAAGGTTTATTCGGCTGCACAGCTGTAGAATCTCATGCTATCAGTCAGAAATCCACTCTGAGCCTGTGATTAAGGAGGAGGGATAATGAGCCTATAAACAGCTGCACATTTCAATTCCCAGAAGCTTCTTCAAGGATGAAGAACTAGTTTTTATAACAACTTTAGCCAAGGTCATTGTAGGGTAAATGGAAGTTATCAGGATTTTTCTGCCCTCCCGCCATTAACATCTATGATTGACACCTGTGGTTTTACACGCGAGCCTGATGGCAGCCCCTAGAGTGTGGTGTGGGTGTGCGTACATGGGCACTCCTAAGCAGAGAGACTGAGCATAGAAAGGCGGTGGCAGAAAATGGGAGGGACAGAGGGCCGAGCAGCAGAGTGCAGTAGAAACCAGTGGAGAGACCACGAGAGAACGCCAGAGAGCCCAGAAAGAGTAAGGCTTTGCTGGGGGCTGGGAGGCCTGCCCGCCTCCTGGCCCTCCAGCCACCTGCCTGCCCTGTACCTGGTTATCTCACTCCAAGTGGTGTGGAAAGATCATTAAAAGCCTGAAAAAGCCACTGAGACCTCCAGGACTCCCCCTTTACCCATCTGCCTGGATCAGTAGAGAACCTGCCCTGTGCTTTCCTGGTCTCCACTGACCTAGAGGAATACAGTTTAGGGGTATCGACAGGTACAGGTTCATAAATGAACATGTCCTCTCTATCTGAGAAACTCACCATTTCACTCTCAGAGTAAACATGAAGTCATCCCTTCCTTACAATGTGAGCCCCCTCCTTCTCTCTGTGACACCCCAGATCCTTTAGCACAGGATATGGTTTGCCCCATTTTATAGCCATGTAAATTCTCCGTACATAAACATATATTTGATGTTAATTTGTCTGGCTTCAGAAGAACCCAGATGGGGCGGGGGGTGGATTTCCCCCTGTGCCTTGACATCACTGTAGGGTAAGGAAAAATGTCAGGCTTTTCTGCCCTCCTGCCATCAGGATAGATGATGGGTCCTTGCGGTCCTGAATGCATGCCTGATGGCGGGCACCTGGAGTAGGGTGTGGGCATAGGCAGATGGGATTCACCTGGGCTGAGACTGGGCTTTTAAGGGCGGCGTCACGGGGACGCCAGCAGAAACCAAGAAGAAGCCAAGAACGAACGGAAGCCGAGAGAAGAAGATAAGCAGAGAGAAGGCCAGAGAGCCCAGATAGAGTGAGCATTTTGGGGGGGCTGGGAGGCCTGCCAGCCTCCCGGCCCCTCAGCACCCCTGCCTGCCATATGCCTGGTAAACCTAAATAAAAGACCTGCAAAAGCCACTGAGGACTCTGACTCCTCCTTTACCTGGTCTGCTGGATCAGAAAACCTGCACTGGTCCATTCCTGACCCTACAATCACTAATTTTTTTTTTTTTTTCTTACAGGATTCCCTCCAGGGTCCTGCATTACATTAAATGTGTCCTCTGATTTCTGACTGTTCCACAGTCTTTGTCTCTCATGACCTTGGCACTTTTGAAGTGTACTCCTCAGGTATGTTGCAGGATGTCCCTGAGCTTGTCTGATGTTTTTCACATGATTAGATTGAGGCAATGGAGTTAGGGAAAGAAGGTGGTGGGGCTGGCTGTCTCATCAAATCGTGCCTGGGGCCATATGATATTGGTGTTCACCTTAATCACTTGGCTAAGGCGGTGTCTACCGGTTTCTCCAAAGCAAAGTTACTATTTTGCCCTTTCCATATGTAACATATTTTAAATCTGTACAACAGCCCTGCAGCCTTAATTAATCCCATTTTATAAGCAGGGAACTTTGAGACATCTCCTGGAAAGATCACAGAATTTTGGAGATTATCTTTTTTCTTTAACAAATGAGGAAACCAAGGTCCGAAGAGGTAAATAACATGGCAGAGATCACAGCCAGTTCACTGCAGACCCAAACTAGACCCCAGGCTCCAGATTTCCAGTGAAGGAGATGTGCAATTAAGACTCCATTAATGTGAATTAGGCATAAGATCTCTGAATCCTTGCATATAAATAGCCAGGGCTTCCCCTAGCTCTGATTGGAGAGGAATCCAACACCATCAACCCTGCTGGAAACAACTGTCCAGAAGCAGCTGTCTAATTCTGGCTGGCCTTACTATAGCACTGCAATCTTTAGCGAGGCTGGTCATAAGACAGGCAGATCTGATATCAGATGCCAATGTCTCCTTTATTTCTCTAGAATGCCAGTTACATGGCCACCATTGTCTGTGGTTAATATAGTAATGTTTCTAGTGGAGCTGCTAATGGCTTTCTACCTCCTGGCTGTAGTTATTTTAATCTAGAGCACCCTATCACTCCCAACCCCTATCTTCAGAATTATGCAGGGCATTCAGAGGATTTGATAAATGGGAATCTTAAAAGTAGAATGGAATGCTTGATATCATCGTAAGAATTCCATTGCTCAGAAGGCTTTTAGATAGATAGTAGGATGGTCAACAATGAGCTAAAATATCGTCAAACTCTAGATGTTTATCGGGTTTGACTGTGCTTCTGCTGCCTATCATTATTATACTCTGATACTAAAAGGGGTTTGAAAAAGTGAAGGGATTCTGCACACAGACCAAACTGCAGAATTGCCATCTTCCCTACGGTTACAGAGATCAGACAGGCTGGTTTTAGTGAACCAGGGTTAAGAGGCTCTGTGAAACTTTCAGGCAAACTCATGTCAAGGGCTGTACTTTATGCTCTATTCTTTTTTAAAGATTTATTTATATATGTATACAAGTACAAGAACTGGGGGTACAGGCCAGACATATGGGGGGGGGTGAAAGGATTCTCCAGAGACAGAGTGGAGAACAAAACAGGCAGACTGAAATACACTGCTGACAGAGCAGGGGCAAGACAGGAGAGGTCTGCTGCATCACGTGGGTAGCTCCTGGCTGGCTGGGGATCGAACTTGTGCTGCAAAGGTTGTAGATAGCTTCACAGTGCTGTGCTTAACCCCTTGTGCCACCAGGGAGGCCCTCTGCTCTGTTCTTTGGTGGAATGACCCAGTCTGGGATTGGCTGTGGTCATGTTGACACATAGGACGATGATCCTTGATTAACTTATTAGTTAATAAGTGAGCTGCCCTCCAGAACATAATTAATCCTGTAGTTCAGTCTTAAATGAAACCAGTTTCCTTGGGCAGGTATTATCTTGGTACGTAGGCAAACAGGGACTCCATCAGGAAATGACCACCCCAGATCCATCGCTAGGATTTGAATGTCATGATGACTTCTACCTGGAAAAAGAAAAAGGTGACCAAACTGGGCTTCCAAATTCATGAAAGACTCTTCCTAGCCCCTATTCAGGGCCTCTGCCCTAAACAAACATGTATTCTATCCCATAACTTAATGTAATTACCTTCGTGAAGGCTCCCTGGTCAGACAAGACTGTGATGTAGTAACACTTCCACGACATGGGTGGTGCAAGGTCAGGGCTATTAGCTTGTGCTAGAGGATGGTATTTGTGTTCTCTGAAATAAAAGACTTGATGTGGCCCAGCATCTCTCAGGCAAGGAAGAGCTAATCTGATGGAGAATCTAAAGTGGTCTGCAGCATCAGAAATACAGGTATTTGGTTGTACTGGAGTTTATTATTAACTCCATTTGTTTCATCCTATTTTATGTGGCATAGTTTATAAGCCTTTGCAACAATAGGAATTAAACATTTTAAAGCTATTAGATACATGGTACATATATACCATGGAATATTACTCAGCATTCAAAAAAGATAAACACATGCAATTTGCAGCAACATGGATGGCGCTGGAAGGGATCATGCTCAGCGAAATAAGCCAGAAAGAAAAAGAAAAATACCGGATGGTCTCACTCATAGCAGGAATCTAGAAAACTTAAATAAGGGACCAGGAAAATGAATAACTATAAAGAAAGTGAAAATCAAAATCAACAAAAAACTATGAACCAGAGACACTCTATGGGGGATAGGGGGCGGAAGGGGAGGGATTGGGGTCAAAATAAGGGGGTTGCAATTGTATGGGGAATGTAAAAATAAAATTTATTATAAAAAAATAAAGCTATTAGATACCACAGGGTTTTTAAAGTTTTTAATAGAATAGTTAAAACTTATAGGAAAGTTAAACATATGCTAAAAAGAAACCCTATATACTCTTCAATGATAACATATACATTTTGCCTATTTTCTCTGTTTTTGTCTTTCTTTTCATACATAATTTTTTTCAGAACCATTTGAATCAGAGATATGGTGGCTTATTACTCCTTAATATTCAATAAGTATTTTTTTTCCTTTGAGGCATGCTTTATTTATTTTATTTGTATGTTTTTTGTTTTTTTTTTGTTTATACATGCACTGGGTACAGTCAGAAGCGTGGGAGGGCGAGAGAATTCAACAGAGCCAGAGCAGGGAGCAGAGCAGGCAGAAGGACCGAACTACACTGCTAAGGGGAGCAGTGGGTGGCAGGAGAGGTCTGCGCGCCATGTGGGACCCTCCCCCGGTGGCCGGGGAACAGCCGGGGATCAAACTGGTGCTGCAGAGGCTGCGGGCAGCTTCGCAACCCAGCGCTCAACCGCTGCGCCACTAGGGAGGCCCTCAATAAGTATTTCTTAAAATAAGAACATTCTTCTATAGAGTCATAATACAACCTTCAAAAATTAGGAAAAATACCATGTTATCAAAAGATCCCATTCAGGTTTTGCCAACTCTCCTTGTAACGTCCTTCAAAGGCCCAGGATCTAGCCCAGGATCACACAATTTTGTCATGTCTCTTTAGTCCCCATTTCAATCTGCTCCTCAGACCTGTTTTTCATGGCCTTCACATTTTGAAGAAACAGAATGACCCTCAGTTTTACTTTAATTATTACTTTTTCTTAAAAATAACATCACCCAGGACAACAAATCTTTGATAAAGGAGCAAAGAATATGCAATGGAACATGGACAGTTTGTTCAATAAATGGTGCTGGGAAAACTTGTTCACCACATGCAAAAGAATGAAACTAGACCACTACCTCTCATGGTGCACAAAAATCAACTCAAAATGGATAAAAGAACTGGACATAAGACCTGAACATACAGGTTACATACATCTGATGTTACATACATCTGAGTAACATCTTTAAAGACTCATCTCCAAAGCAAAGAAAGTGAAGGAAGAGATAAATAGCTGAGATGACATCAAATATTCAAAAGCTTCTGTGCAGCAAAAGAGACATTAACCAAAGCAAAGAGACACCCTACTGACTGGGAGAAAAATCTTTGCTTTCTATACAACTGACAAGGGACTGGTCACAAAGATCTACAAAGAACTCACATGACTCAACAAAAACAAAGTAAACAATCCAGTCAAGAAATGGCAGAAAATCTAAAATGACACTTCTCCAAAGAGGAAATGCAAATAGCCAACAGGTGTATGAAAAAATGTTTAACATCCCTTGTAACCAGGAAAATGCAAACAAAACCACAATGAAATACCATCTTACGCCAGTGAGAATGGCACATATTAAAAAAACTAGCAGACAACAAATGTTGGCGAGGATGTAGAGAAAAAGGAACTCTCCTGCACTGCTGGTGGGAGTGCAAAGTGGTCCAACCACTATGGAAAGCTGTGTGGAGGTTTCTCAAACATCTAAAAATGGAGCTACCATATCACCCAGTAATTCTACTCCTAGGAATATATCCAAAGGACACAAAAACATTGATTCAAAAGGATACCTGCACCCCTATGTTTATTGGAGCACTATTTGCAATAGGTAAGCTATGGAAACAACCCAAATGCCCACAAATAGATGACTGGATCAAGAAGATGTGTATATATACACAATGGAATATTATTCAGCAATCAAAAAGATCAACACATGTCATTTACAGCAACATGAATGGAACTGAAGGGGATTATGCTCAATGAAATAAGCCAGAAGGAAAAAGAAAAAAATCGGATAGTTTCACTTATAGGAGGAATATAGGATAACCAAATAAGGGATCAGGAAAAAAATAATTATAATTAAAAAATACAAAATTATCAGGTAACTATAAATCAGAGACATTCTGCAGGGGACGGGGAGGGATCTACAAAGAACTACAAATATGGTTTCAGCCAATGTAGGTTTCTTCCTTTCTCTTGAATAGCAAATCTTACAGAAATAGGAGCAAAGAACATGCATATGTCTATGTAAGCTTCTATGTGGCGCAAAGTTCAAATCTTAGCTGATACACTGAAAAGTGTCCATGAGGAAATGCACAATGTTTACTGCACTTGGAGGGAAGAATACAATGTCAGAAAAATAAATCAGAAACGAATGCATTCACTTCTCACTTTTTATTCAGTCAAATCCATCAGTTAACCAACTACAGTTAATAGTTACTGAAAGCCAGTCTAGTGGTGCTCTGGCAGATATAAGACAAATATAGCATGCACAAACCTGAAACATTAGGGGACCATCCCTGAGAATGCTATTATGATGGGGGGAGGGGTCAGCAGTTTAGAGGAGAGCAAAATCACTACTTGTGGGATGGGGGAGAGAGGGTGTTAGGGTAGTTAGAAATGTGTCATGGAAAAGTGAAATTTGAGTTGGGCCTGGCACGATGGTAATATTGCATAGATAGGAGGGAGGCAGGGTATATATTGAGTCCCAGGGAGCAGAAGGCACAGAGGTGGTAGTTGGAAATTTGTGGAGGAAACTTGATGAGAAAATGTGCATATTGAGCAGTGTTGAAGACAGGAGGCTGCCCCAACAGATGCAGGGAGCAGGGAGCAACCTGAAGAACTGGTCTGTTGTAACATCCTAATCTGTGTCAAGCCATGCTAGAGCCTGCGGTAAAAGGAAAGCCCAATAATGCCATCCTGTCTTTATTTAAACTTTTGATTTTTTTGTTCATTGTGGGTTTTTCACATTAATTTTGATTTAAAAAAATATTATATTAAAATATTATTTACATGAATCACTGTGTTTTGGGGCACCATCTTAAATTTTGTGCCCAAGGCAAATGTCTCATTGCTCAACCCCTGCCTCAGTTCTGTGTTCTGTTTCTGAAGTTTGGTGGTGGGGAAATGGGTATTGATTTTATTATTATAACTTATAGCATACTCATGTTAAAAATATTCTTTGGGCAGTAGACAGCATTTAATACAAGCAACTAAGATAAAGAAATCAGACTTAAAAAAATTAATTTGGAACTTTAGAGCCTGAAATAAAGGAAAAAGAATCCTTTGTGCTCCTGAGTCAAGCTCTAGGGGAGATTAACTACCTGTTGCTGCAGCATATGCAGTGCAAGCAGAAAAGCATTGTTTGTTCACATCTAAGTGGGTGAACGATAACTACAGGGGTAAGAGGAGCTGGAAGCTCCTGTCTACTTGCAGTTAGGCCTCTGGCAGCTCCGCTGCTGTACTCAGAGTGATTCTGCTTCAAGGCCCAAGGCAAATGCTGACAAATGGGCTGCGCGAGGTGGACTTGACCATACCTCATGTAAAACAAGCCCATCCAGCCATGTTCAAAGAGAAGCTACTCACTGGGCCACCGTGCTTAGCATAGGGCCATGACCAAGAAACAGTGGAAAATTCCTGAACTCTATAAATGTCTTGGGGTTACTTGTATCTAGGAGAAGAGGTGGTATTTGACATAAAGTATATTACTAGTACATCTAAAAAGGTACAATTTGAAAAATATGAAATCTCTTGTTCATTAGTAATCTGGTAACTAATGACTGATTATTGTGAGCCTGGGAAGTCAATCAGCATGCAGTGCAGTACAGGCCCAGGGAAAGACGGGAGGGTGCAGGCTGCTCTCTCTGTGCTCGTCACCAGGTCATGCTCTGTCACTTGATGAAGACCTGCCAGTCCGTGCCAATGTTCAGAGAGAGCTTCTTTAGGCTCAGGGTGGACGTTTTGGCACAATATGTAAAAGCCACAGGCTGATCTTTACTACCTAAATATCAAAATAATAAAAGGGAAAGTTTGATATGTAGGCAAGAAAATATTTTCTTTGTATCTGAAATGTTTCTTACTCTGTCTTTAAACCTTATACCCAAGTTAGGAGAATCCAAATTAAAAGCACTTTAAATCATAGACTTCCATGAATTTTTAAAACATGAAATACTCCTTTATTTTGAATGCAGCATTAGTCAAAAAGAAACTGTAAAGAACAAAGTGATTTTTTTCAAGAAATGCAATAGGTAAGAAAGGATACATCCCATTCTATGCCCTTGAATAAATTCCATAAATATGAATAGGATTCTCCAGGGTTTCAGAGAGCTGCAGTTTAAAAAATAATCAAAGAAGCCACAATATTGCTTCAAGTCTCAAATAATTTTCCTTAGAACAATATTAACAGCTTACAGTTCGTAGAAAGACTAGTTGATAAAGAGAAGCAGGTTGGCCTTGCTCCTTCTTGCTACTAGCACACAAATGTACTTTCTCTGCTAGAAAGTCCAGAGTCCATTTTGGCTAAGCACATTATGTTAACTTCAGGACTAATTATCTCTTCACTGATAATATTTCTATGTTTGCAAATAGAATTGGTCAATTTTCTCACCAGGCGAGTGGGTGGTCACAGAAGATGGCTGCTGCTTGAGGCCAAGGACCCAGATCTGCTCCACCACACACTTGCTGAGATAATGACCCTTCTTATCAGCACAGCTGGAATAGACACAAATGGCATAAAGAAAGGAGAGGAAGAGGGATTTGGATTGGTCATCAGGTCACCATCCCCAGCCATGTGAGTTCCCTTCCGTTCTTTTCCGATGAAGTTACGAACCATATAGGTCATACTTACTAAGATGGAGAGATGGGGAAAGATGACTTTATGTGCTGAAGGCTAACTAGACAGTGGACAAACCCATTTCCCTTTAGCAAGATTTGAAGAGAATCACATAAGGAAATTGAAATTGAAATTGAAATATGACTTAGACACTGTAATCAATTTGTAAGCAATCAGATACTTAATGAATTGTTAATTGGATGAATAACTGGGATTAATGCAAACTTAAATTCCTTTAAAAGATCTTTTAGAGGGGAAGGAAAGGAATATGGAGACAACAATGAAGGGAAGTATATGGAGTGGTTGAAAAATACCCCAGGGGGACATAAGAGGCTCCTAACTGTCCTTCCTTCCATGAATGCAGTGAGTATAAATCTACCCATGGAGTTATTAACTCCCTTTGAGAGAATGAAGATGGAACACTCTCTAACTCCTTATATAAAATTAACTCAAACTTGATTAAAAACTTAGGTGTAAGACCCACAACAATGAAAGAGCATAAAACATTGGCGATATGTTTCTTATCATAATAAAGATGTTTTCAGAGACTAAACCCCTATAATAAGGGAAATAAAGGCAAAAATAGAACGTTGGGTGACTAGAATAGGTGGGAGTAAGGAAGAAAGGGAAGAGGGAGGGATTGAGGGAGGGAGTAACAGGGGGCACATAAAAGGACATTTGTGAAAAGACACAAGTAGCAGCTTCCCTGTGGATGCACCTCAAAGACCTCCAGCAGATTGAGGGAACTTAATCTGGGGGTCTGTGTTTCTTTTCAATATCCTTTCATGATAAAAACTCAGCAAATTGGGCAGAGAAGGAATATACCTTAACATTTAAAAGCCTATGTGACAAACGCACAGCTAACATCATACCAATGGTGAAAGCTGAGCGCGAAACCGCCAAGATCAGGAACAAACAAGAATGCTTTTTCTTACCATTTTTTAGCTGCCATTACCTGTTGATCAAAACACCTGAAGAGAATGAAAACTTCCTGTGCAAGAATTGCTTCTGGTGGAGGTATTGGAATGAATGGCCGTCATCGAGATATAGTTCACCCATGGCCGAACCCTGGAGAGTGAATCACAGGTGGAGAAAATACTTACAGAATAACTTTCAAGATAAAGAATGTCATTCCTTAAGTAATAGTCAATGCTAAGTGGCAGAGCACCAGAGGTCACAGTGGTATAAAAGGAAAGTTCTCTCATTTTCAGTTCTTGGAGTTCTTTTTATTTGTTTGTTTTGTTTAAATTTTTTACATCGTTGTTCATTTTTAAACAATATTTGCTTTCCCCCACCCCCTCAGGTGTAGTCCCCATAGAGTTTCCTTCACCAGTGCACCTGTGCACCATCACCTCAGTCCCCTGTGCTCCTCCCTCCCTCCCTCTGATCCCTCTCCCTCCTCCTTCCCTGCAGGATGTCTCTGATTTATAATTGTCTGTTTTTGCTTTGTTGTGTTTTGTACTGTTGTTATTTTTTTTACACTGATGTCTTCGTTGGTTCCCCTATATTCCTGCTATAAGTGAAACCATGCAGTATTTTTCTTTTTCCTTCTGGCTTATTTCACTGAGCATAATTCCTTCTAGTTCCATCCACATTGCTGTGAATGGCATGAGTTTATCTTTTTTGATTGCTGAATAATATTCCATTGTGTATATATACCACATCTTCTTGATCCAGTCATCTATTTGTGGGCATTTGGGTTGTTTCAGGTTTTACCTATTGTAAATAGTGCTGCAATAAACATAGGGGTGCAGGTGTTCTTTTGAATCAATGTTTTTGTGTCCTTTGGGTAGATCCCTGGGAGTGGAATTGCTGGGTCATATGGTAGCTCCATTTTTAGTAGACTGAGGAACCTCCAGACAGCTTTCCATAGTGGTTGGACCAATTTGCATTCCCATCAGCTGTGTAGGAGAGTTCCTTTTTCACCACATCCTCGCCAATATTTGTTGTTGCTAGTTTTTTTAAAAATATGTGCCATTCTTACTGGTGTAAGGTGTCATTCTTACTCGTCTCAATGTGGTTTTGATTTGTATTTCCCTGATGATAGGGATGTTGAGCATTTTTTCACACACCTGTTGGCCATTTGCATTTCTTCTTTGGAGAAATATCTTTAAAGTTCTTCTGCCCATTTCTTGACTGGATTGTTTACTTCGTTTTTGTTGAGTGGTGTGAGATTTTTGTATATCTTTGTGATCAGTCCCTTATCAGTTGTATGGAGTGCAAAAAATTTTTCCCAATCAGTGGGGTGTCTCTCTGTTTTGGTTAATGTCTCTTTTGCTGCACAGAAGCTTTTCAGTTTGATGTAATGCCAGGTGTTTATCTTTTCCTTGACTTTCTTTGCTTTGGGTGATGAGTCTTTAAAGATGTTACTGAAATGTATGTTATGTAGTATTTTACCTATATTTTCTTCTATATATGTTATTGTTTCAGGTGTTACATCCAGGTCTTTTATCCATTTTGAGTTGATTTTTGTGCATGGTGAGAGGGAGTGGTCTAGTTTCATTCTTTTGCATGTGGTGGTCCACTTTTCCCAGCACCAATTATTGAACAAACTGTCCAAATTCATTGCATATTCTTTGCTCCTTTGTCAAAGATTAGTTGTCCATATAAATGTGGCTTTATTTCTGGGCTCTCTATTTGGTTCCATTGGTCTATGTGTCTGTTTTTGTTCCAATATCAAACTGTTTTAATTATTATGGCTTTATAGTATAGCTTGAAGTTTGGAAGTGTGATACCTCCTTTCTCTTTTGTTTTCATCAGTAGGGCTTTGGCTATTCGTGGTTTTTTGTGGTTCCATATGAATTTCATCAGTATTTGTTCTATTTCTTTGAAGAATGTCATTGAGCTTTTTAAAGTCAGCCAAGCTGGACAATGACAAGCCGGATGAGAAATGTGCTAGATAAACATAGATGATGTTTACCACCTTTATATAGTGTCACATATTTAAAAGGCTATCTCTACAAAGGTTGTTACAAAGTAGTAACAAATGACATGTGTAAAGGTAACATTTTTCAAATACCTTAGTGCTTAGAGCCACCCGGAGTTCATAAGGGAAATCAGCCATGCAGCCGGTGGATTTTCCTATAGTTGTCTTTGTTGGTACTATACTTCCACCTCGTTGAAACACTGGTATCTATAACAGAGACACTCTCAGAGAAGGATATTCAGAGAAGGCAATTTCAAAATAGGATTTTAAAATATTTTATTGTATATGACACATTCTTTGCTAGTAAGACTCAAAGGCAGAATAAATTTATAAGCACAGAGATGGCAATTATGGCAGCTGACATTAAAAAGAAGAGTTCAAGCACTAGAAAATGGTCCATATTTGAGTTGGGGAAATCCTTATCCTTCATCAATCTATTATCTATTCTGAACATCATATAAGCAGCTTTTCTTGTTTTGTATTTTTAATTTTCTGTCAATATAATTACCATGTTTATCTCTAGGGTGATACTAAAGAGTGAATTTTTCTGTGTAAGCAGGCCCAGATATCTGAGATCATTGTTTCATAATAGGGTTCATATTACTATTGACAATTTTTAAAAATAACATCAATACATATTGATTAATCTTCCTACTATGCATGGCTGTAGTAGTGGTTGTGATTCAGCTGCAGGAACAAATTTCCCTTTAGAAATGCAGACTGAATGGGCCATTTGATTCCAACATCATATCTGATAGCATCCCCTTGGGTCAACAGGTCTGGGGTTACCACTAAAACCTATGTTTTGGGGAAGTGATTCTGTGGGAGGTCATTCTGTATGGCATGTGTGGTAACCACCATGAAAGTTCTTTCTCCAGTATTGTTATTTTTCTCAGACAAACAAATGTGAACATATAGGGTGAAGAGTGGTTGGGCCCCATTGTTTCATACCATGATATCAGAGTATAAGTCACTTTAAAACCTTTTCTTACATTTTAACAGATGGTTAATATATTCCTGTACTACATAATTCACCAATTTAAAGTGTGCAGTGAAATGGGCTTTAGTATATTCAGTCATGCAGCCGCTGTCACCATCAATTTTATTTATTTTTTTAAAGATTCATTATTTATGCATACAAGAACTGGGTGAGAGGATTCACCAGAGACAGAGTGGGGAACAGAACAGGTGGATTGCCTGAAATACACTGCTGAGGGGAGCAGTGGGTGAGACAGGAGAGGTCTGCTGCGCCATGTGGGTCACCTCCCTGGCCAGGGATCGAACTTGTGCTGTGGTGGCTGAGGATAGCTTCATAGTGCTGAGATTTAACACTTTGTGCCACCAGGGAGGCTCTACCATCAATTTTAAAACATTTTCATCACCCCAAGAGAAACTCATCTATCTGCAGTCATTCCCCATTGCTCCCTAAACCCTCCTTCTGCCCCAGGTCTTGGCAGCCACTAAGCTACTTTCTGTCTCTACACGTATGTGTTAGGCAGAACACTAACGTCCTTGGTTTTTCCTGTATAGGCACATGTGATGCCCTGAGTGTGTCCCCTTCCCCAAATTCATATGTTGAAACCCTAACTCCCAGTTACTGTATTTGGAGGTAGGGCCTACATGGAGTTGGTCAAAATTAAATGAGGTCATAAAAGTGGGGCCCTGGTGATAGGATTTGTGTTGTTATAAGAAGAGACACAGAGAGCTGAACCCATGTGGGGGCACAGCAAGAAGGCAACTGTCACAAGCCAGGACAGCGTTCACTTTCTCAGGAACCGAATTAGTTGGCTTCTTTGCCCAGGTCTTTGAGCCTCCAGAACTGTAAGAAAATAAATTTCTGTTGTTGAAGCTACGGAGTCTATGCTGTTTTGCTATGGCAACCCAAGCTAATAGAGCACACTCACGAAAATAATATGAAAAGAACTTACAGTGTCCAAGGCTACTGGAATCTTCACAGTGTGTGCTCCTTCCCAAAGAGCAAATGTCTTAGAGTCATACCAGAGCTGAAAAGGAATAGCCCCAATGAAAAAGAGTATATGAGCAACTCTGTTCATAATTTAACTATTCAATGAGACACCCACTCATCTGGATTTCAAATTACCAGAAAACTAAAATAAGTATAATTAAAAAAAAATCTTGAGTTTGAATTAGAAAGAACATATGCTTTTAAGAAGATTTTAAAAGACTAACCCAGTACTATGACAGATCAGTTTGGCTAAAAGGCCATTCATTTGACCATCCACATATCCAAAAGTTGTTACTGAACAATGGGTAGATATGCTGGGGACACATGAGTGAACAGAAAGGCACAGTTCCTGCTCATAAATTGTATAGTTCAATTGCCTTATAAAAACCTACTGCCTCTCATGGTAAAAGAGATGATGAAAGAGAAAAAAACAAAAAATAAAGAAAAGCACATTGCAAGCAAATGAATTATAAATGAGACAGCAGAAAGGGAAAACTTCAGAGAAGGAAAAAAAACATGGAAACTTGAATTATTAATATTATTTCTTTTATAATTTTTGGGGTACAATTTAGGGATGAGGCTCAAACTATTAGCTGGAATACCTCTTAAGGGAGGTTAGTTGCTAACCAAAATGTCCTATTAAGTAATTTAATGGGATAAATCCTTAAAATATCACCAGAAGCAGCATTAAAAAAACCCCTTTCTTTTCTTTTCTTTTTTGTCTCTCTTTTATCCCAGCACAATTTCTGGCAGCTAAGAATTCATTTTGCAGATTCACCTCCTGGGATTACCACATCTTTTATGTAGCTGGGCCACTGAGTCTGTCACTGCCCTACTGTGAGTGTGAGGCTATCATTATCTTCAGTGAACTCTAAAGTCATTGGGATTGTCAGGATACGTTATCTTTGGCTGGATTCAATTTGCTGATGTTTTGTGAAGGATTTTTGTCTGTGTAAAGAAATATCCTCTTAGCTTTAATTTCTTGTAATGTCTTTCTTTATTGAGTTCTAGTAGCTCTAGATAGTTATGTGAAAGGCAAAAAAAAAAAAAAAAAAAAAAAGATTCAAACAAGATTTGGGGATTACCTGTCCACTATTTTCAGAAGTAATCAGAATGCAAGGTTCAGAGTATGTGTTCTAATGCTACACAAAGATTCCCAACCTAGGGCTTCCCTGGTGGCAACAAGGGGTTAAGCACCACACTATGAAGCAATCTGCAGCCTCTGCAGCATGAGTTCGATGCCTGGCAGGCCAGAGAGAAACCCACATGGCAAAGCAGACCTCTCCTGTCTTGTCCCCTGCTCCCCTCAGCAGTGTATTTCAGTCAGTCTGCCTGTTCTGTTCCCCACTCTGTCTCTGATGAATGCTCTCACCCCCTTCATCTCTGGCCTGTACTCCAGCTCTTGTATGCATAAATAAATAAATCTTTAAAAAACAAACAAACAAAACCCACAAAGATCCCCAACCTAGGAGTGGTCTAACTGGACAGAACACCTTTAGATTGGACCTGGAACTCAGTCACCAAGCTTCTCACCCAACAAGTGCTTATCAGAGGCCTACTATGTGCCAGGTACCAGTCTAGAGGCTGGAGATACAGCAGTGAACCTAAGAGATAAAAATCACTGCCCTCAAGAAGCTGACATTCTAATGGTTGTTGTTGTAATAAACCAAACATCTAAGTAAACAAAACATTTAACAAAAGAGAATGTTAGGAGGTGGCATGTTCTATGGGGAAAAATAAAAGATGAAGGAATGCTGGACAGAACTGGGGGCCATTTAAGATTTAGAATCTTAATGGTTTTTTTTTTTTATATATAGAGGCATTTATTTGTTTGTTTGTTTGTTTTGTTTATACATGCACTGGGTACAGTCAGAAGCGCAGGAGGGTGAGAGAATTCACCAGAGCCAGAGCAGGGAGCAGAGCAGGCAGAAGGACCGAAGTACACTGCTGAGGGGAGCAGCGGGCGGCAGGAGAGGTCTGCGTGCCGCGTGGGACCCTCCTCTGGTGGCCGGGGAGCAGCTGGGGATCGAACCGGCGCCGCAGAGGTCGCGGGCAGCTTCAGCAACCCAGCACTCAACCGCTGCGCCACCGGGGAGGCCCTAAGATTTAGAATCTTAAATAGGTGGTCAGAGAAAGCCTCACTGAGGAGATAATTAAGCAAAGACTTGAAGGCAAGGGAATGGCCATAGAAAAAGGTGGGAAGAGTGACCGTGAGGGACTTTAGATCGTCCCCCTATACTGTGTGAAGTAGTTCTAGTTAAACAGTGAGATAAAGGTCTGGCAAGAAACACTTGGCTATTTCACCCAGCGTTTGTGAAGATATAGCAAAAGAAATAATCGCAGAAGCCTCTAGGAAACAGCACCGAAGCGGCAGATCATTAGTAAACATGTGTGGCTAAGTCAGAAAGTTTCCTCCTCAGGGGAACCTACTACTTTGTTAGAACCAGCTTGAGAAACTCTCAGCAGAGACACCTGGCAGGACAACTTATTTAGTTGATGTTGTATTCAACCTTTTCTCAGGTTTCTGTTTGGCAAGGGTCCCTTTGTAAAGAGTCTTCACTTTCAAAACTAGAAATTACTGAAAGGACCAGAGGAAAGATTCATGAAAACATGAGAGAAAAAGGCCTCCCCGGTGGCGCAGCGGTTGAGCACTGGGTTGCGAAGCTGCCTGCAGCCTCTGCAGCACCGGTTCGATCCCCGGCTGTTCCCCGGACACCAGAGGAGGGTCCCGCATGGCGCGCAGACCTCTCCTGCCACCTGCTGCTCCCCTCAGCAGTGTACTTCGGTCCCTCTGCCTGTTCTGCTCCCCGCTCTGGCTCTGGTGAATCCTCTCACCCTCCCGTGCTTCTGACTGTTTCCAGTGCTTGTATAAATAAATAAATAAATCTAAAAAAAAAAAACTTTAAAAAAAAATGAGAGAGAAGTTCATTATTATATCAATAATGATGAGTGTAGCAGGCTGAGTGGTGGCCTCTTAAAAAGATATATTCATTTTCTAACCCCTGGAAGGAGTGAATAGCCCCTTCTGGGGTAACAGATTTGACAAAAGCAAGGATACTGAGATAAAGAGAATATTTGAGGCTATCCAGGTGGGCCCTGATTGCCATCACAAGTGTCCTCAGAAGCAAGAGATGGAAGAGGAGAGCCAGACACACAGAGGGGAAGGCCATGTGGAGGAGGAGGCAGAGACTGAGTGATGAGGCTGCAAGCCAGGGAGTGCTGAGGATTGGGGGGACCTCCAGCAGCTGGGAGAGAGGCATGGACTACACTCTCTTTCAGAGGCTCCAGCAGGAACCAACCCTGCTGACACCTTGATTTTGGATTTTAAGCCTTCAGAACTCAGAGAATAAATTTTTTGTTCTTTAAATAAAGCCACCATTTTGGTGGCAGTTTGTTACAGCAGCTTCATACACTAATACAACAACCAAACACATAAAGCTGGGTGGAGGGGAACATTGGCCCTGGGTGTGGTTTCATGGTAATGCCATCCCATCACTTGATGCCACTGCGCTGTGAGTGTGGCCTGATTCACTACCTCACCACTTGCCTTGAAAGCCCAGGAATATCCTGACGTAGCCATCCCATATCAGTTCAGTATCCTTCGTGGCTCTTTCCCCTGCCTGCTGAGTGCCCCTGCGGTGACACTCCAGTGCTCCAGACTCTCCATGAGCTGTCTCCTTCCTGCTCTCCATTCCACTGCCTCCGCTCCAGTCTGGTTGACACATTTCTGCCCTATCTTTTCTCCTGATCCCTTTGAATATATCTGTTGTCTGTCTCTGCAGCACATGGGTTATTCCCACCTCTCTGCTGTGCGCTGCCTGGGTTTAGTGCCCGGGGTTCCAGTAAGTGGAGGATGATAATTGTTTTTGTACAGTGACAGTAATCAATGGCATAACCAATAAAAGTGCAGAGAGAGTTGGGAGGGGGGATAGAGGAAAGTCACCATTATTACTTTTTACCCACTTTGGTGCATGTTTGGATTCAGATTAAGTCAAAACCAAACAGCAGGATCTCTTCATACTGATGACTTCCTCATCACCCCTCCCCTCAAGTTTGATTGTTCACAGTTTTTATGCCCTATCTAAAGCTTTCGTGTGTTTGCAAGGACTCACTAAGTTGCAAGTCGAAATGTAAAGATAAAGAAGCATTCTGACCCTCCTTGGTGTGACCTGCTCAGTTTTCTCCCTGCTCTTCAAGAAACTTTTAAGTTTCTTGACCTTTGGGGATAGTGGTTATGACATACAAGAATTTTCAGTTGCCACACACAGTTGTGAGCTGTGTTCACAACTGCATAACAAAGAAATCTGTTTCTAAACAGGCTAACTCATCAGGATGAAGGGGTGAGATGTAAGACAAAAAGCAGTGTGGCTCTTTATCATTTACTCTTACCTCATCTGATCCTGGCAGAAGCACGTCAACCATGGTGGCTTTAGGTTCTGTGACTGGATGAACCAATAAAGCACTTCCTTAAAAAACAGAGAAGAAATAAAAGTGAATGTCATAATAATCAGTCTAAAAACATATTTTCCTTTGAATTGAATGCTTTTGAAGACTGTGAACCTCTTGAAAGCAGAGATCTTGGTGAGCTGAACCAATGATTCATTAAAGAGATGCATTGTTAGAAAGAGGACAGGTACTCCAAGAGGTGACAGCATTATTATCCCTCATGAGCCCTGGGGGCCTGGCAGGAGAGACCCAGACACTGTCCAGCTCAGTCTCATTTTGTGCATAAGTGCTAGTGAGCCAGCAGTCTGAAAGTGACAGTGTACTTTACCAAGTGTGCCATTGTGTGTAACAAGTGATTTTGACGATGGCAAGTCTGCAACTGTTATCCAAAATGTGGTCAGCAGATCATACTGTAAATACATCCTCTTCACTGCACAGTTATCACTGGGAGGCAGTCCTCTTAGAGGCAATCTGGATTATTAATTTTGTTTTGAACGTGGCACCATAGGTATGTAAAATCCATCTTTTTATGAATTCACTCTCTAATTCAACAAATATTCACTGAGAGGCTATTGAGTGCCAGGCATTATGCTAGGCTCTGGGGATATTGTGGCAAACAGGACAACATGGTCCATGCCCTTGTGAGGTTTTTGGCCTGTGAACACAGATACTAAACAAGTCACTGCAAATTAATTAGAATTAAAGCAAATGCCAAAAAAGGAGAAAGTACAAAATGAATAAAAGTTATGTAATGGAAAGGACTGACTTTGACTAAGATGGGTGGAATTACGTTTTAGGAAGCAATTTTTGTCAAGGAAGTTTTCTTTAAGGAAGTAGCTGTTTATTTAAACTGAGGCCTAAGGATGAGTAGACACCTAAAGAGGTAGGTTTTTTATACATTGTGGGCTTTCCATTCTTTAGAAACAGGATTCACCTTTTGGGCAATTCTCTGTTGAGCCTAGTTTCTTGAGTCCTATTCCCAAGCTGATAAACCTCCATGTGCTAGATTTGGTGACTAACCCATGTCAAGAAGAGGCCAGTAGCAACAACAAAAAGCCTATTTTGTATATGAAATAAGCTATTGTGGGTCTTTATTTATGTGCCTTTTACCTACTTCCCTTCCCTGTATGGTGTCTGCAGCTTAGGAGTGGACCCAGAACAAAATCCCAGTTGCATCTATAAATAGAGACACCTGGCATATTTACTGTAATTTATTGAAACAGTTGAATAAATTTATTGGACATTAACAGAAACAATATTATGAGAAGAGCTGTATGACAATTAGCTTAGAGCTATGATCCACTAATACACTAAAAATCTTAGTGATGGGATGTTCTTCTTTCTTTTTTTTTTTTTTTGGCTTTCTTGACATTAGGAATTTATTTTAGTAGTCTTACACTCGAAAATATAACAAAAATATACAGTGTTTACTCTAACTATAATTCATCAAGAACTACTCACCCAGCATGTATTCATCTTCCACACCAAATGTCTCGAATTCCGCAGGGAACTCTATCCACAGAGGCCTGAGGGAAGGGAAAAAATAATCTTTCTTCAACTTCATTAAGATGTTTTTATTTCAGTCCAATTACTTTTGTTTGCAGTTTTATAAGTATTCAGTGGAAACTGAAAAAGGCTAAAGAGCCACAATTCATTATTTATATGAGTCATGGTTTTATGAGTAATTGCTGTTACTACTATATATTTTTCTTACATGAAAGGGCCATCTGTTAAGATTGAGAGTCTGTCACCTGCAATTTTTCCTTCTGATTGCAGAGTATTAAATACTGCTCTGACAGATGGAATCAGAGCTTTCTACAGGTACAAATGTCTAACATATTTGGTGTCAAACATACTAAATATTTGTAAAATCCATACTTTATAATATCGTAAAATCTGTGCTATTTTTTCCAAGCCATCACTTTCATGTATCCTTGATCATTACCTACCTATTTAAATGAAAATAATTGATTTTTCTTGTCAAACTGGCAACATTTTTGGAGGGTTGAGAAACTTGGTGCCTTTTTAAAACAATTTATCATTGTACACAATTAGGAGGAGTTTTGTGCTTATCAAAGGAACAACTTTCAATATCTATGTATCAACAAGTCTATTTTTTTAAATTTCATGAAGATTCTTTTGGTCTTTTTTAAATTTAATTTAATTTTATATATTTTTTACACCATTTTTCATTTTTGCACATTGTATGCATTTTCACCCTGGTTATAGTCCCCATTCAATTCCCATCCCCCCTTGTTTTGATCCTACACCCTTCTCTCCCTTGCCCCCCGTAGTGTGTCTCTGGTATATAGTTGCTTGTTGATTTTGAATTTTACTTTATTATAATTAGTCTAAGAAAATATATTTTTAATAGAAGAAACTTATATTCAGCTTATCCACTTGCCTTTGTGATATCATAATCCTTTCCCATTTAATGGTTGTAAAGCAGTGGTTGCTACCCTGACTGAGGTCTAGAAACACCAGAGAAACAGCTAGCAGATATAGATCTGTGGGATAGCCACGGAAAGTCCTAATCGGTTTGAAGGCATGGCCTTGAAGTCTGTATTTTTACAGACTTCAGGTGTTCTCCAGGTGATTATAATCTGAGCCAGGTCTAGGGGCTGCTGATCTTGAAGTCTTGGTGTATTATGTGTGTCTCTTTGTGTATTTTGTTTTTCATATCCTGCCCTCCAAATATAATCAGAATATAATTTATATACTAGGAACTATGTTTACATCAAACTTGAAACTGTTTAGACCTGAGGGTCTTCACACCTAAGCGTTGAACTCTAAGAACCTGAAACTGGCAGAATAAGTCATTCTTCTTGAGTGGATGCTTGTGGGTAATGAATGATTCTGTTACAGTCACTTCCTTGTTATTTGAAAAGCTCTATTTCTATCTCCTAGCAAATATTAGCACTTGAATCAAAGTAGTAGGGGATCAGGTCCCAGTTTTTAATTTTCTGTGACCTCATTCTTAGCACCCAGCTCACAGTTGGCTCTCCATAAGCTGATTGACAGTTGATTAAACACAATCTTTACCTTTTCCCTTGAGATCACTCCATCCACACTGGCTGAGGGATGTCCTGGTATCTACTGGTTGCAGAGGCCCTAACTGGTGAAGCTTTTTCTTTTTTGAGGTAACCTTGGTTTACAACACTGCGTGTGATTTAGAGGCAGGGGGTCATATATCCTCACACGCCATTTTACCTCATGACAGGCTCGGAAGTCACGTGTGCGTGGTAGAACAGAGAATACAAATAGGGCAGAAGGGCATAGCGCGCCCTGATGGCTTCCCGGATGAGTCGGGTATGTTCCTCCCCGAAGAGCCAGGGTTCCCGTCTCTCAGTGTTCATGGTGGCATGGCCACGGAAGAAGGGCTGGTAGGCCCCGGCTTGGTACCAGCGCACTAGCAGCTCTGCCTCTGGATTCCCGATGAAGCCACCTACATCAGCTGATAATTCAGTCAGAGAGAGGCCAAGTGAGGCAACCAGGCTTATAACAAATGATGTGCAGACATAAAAATAAAGTCTTGAGGACTGACAGGACAAAGACGCTGTGCACACACTCAAATGACAGGCTAAAACCATGGCCTCAAATTGGGGAGCACCTACTAAAAAACTCAGACTATTTGGAGATTGAAAATACACTTTCTGAATCTTCTCTTCTTGTCAAAAGATCAGAGACTTTCCTACCAGACTGACATTCCTGTAGGTTCCTGAGCTCAGATAATCCAGAAATTGCAAAATGTCTGTTTGATTAATTAAGTCTGTTTAGAGGTGGGTGGTGATGACAACAAGTGATTTCCTTTGAAAAATCACAGCTTAAGTAAAATAAAAATTATAGAAAGAACTAGGTAGAATTTCATGCTTAGCCCTTAAGCAGGATACATTATTTCTCCTATTACATGTGGATCAATGCTGTAAAAATACTAGTATCAAAAAGGTGATAGTAAGTTACCACTTTTCCTTCAGAAACAAGAATCCCTGGAATTGTAGCCCATGCTGAACACCTTCCATATTGAGATCTCTTGTCTGCACAGAATTATCAGGGATTGGGGAAGGCAGTCCACCTGAGAATCTTATTCTAACTAAATATCTTTTTAAAGAGCATATATTTTCTTTTCTTTTTTCTTTTTTTTTTTTTTTTACAGTGTTTGCTTTCTTTTCTCAGGTGTAGTCCCCATAGAATTCCCACCACCAATTCACTCGTGCATAGTCACCATAGTCCCTTGTGCTCTTCTTGCCCTTGTTTTGATCTCTCTCCTTCTGCCTCCCCTGCAGAATGTCTCTGATTTATAGTTGTCTGTTTATTTTTGTTTTGTTTTGTTATTTTTTAAATTGTTATTTTTTTCCCTGATCCTTTATATGGTTCACCTATAATTAAAGAGCATATCTTTTAAAAGTTGAATTATGTCACAGAATTTAAAACCAGTTGAGTAAAAAGGATTTCTGTAAGGATGATTTCTGATATGCTAAATTCATCTTTATTTTCTCCATTTTTTTCATTTTCAAGAAGAAAAGTTGTTTCAGGAAGAGAAACTCGGTTATCATATGTGTCTGTAGAGAAAGCATGAAGAGAATGAGAGAAAGAAGCTCTCAGGCTTCCTTCCTGACATGGTACTTTATGTCCTCAGTTCAGCTCTGAAGCACCCCTTTAATCTCCTTTCTAATCTCCTCTCTTCCACTATCTTCATTTTATCTTCCCCACACTTTCTCCTGCCCAAAATAGCCAATGAAAAGGGATTTGTGACCAATTTTGACAAAAACACCCTGGCTTTTTATTTTCTCTTATTTCAAGCAGCAGATCATCTTACCTCCACAAAAAGAGATCCCAGTAATGCTGAGCGTGAGAAGCATTGGGATAGAAATTTTCAGGTAACTCCATTCTGCTGTGTTGTCACCTGTCCATACAGCACCTTTGGTAACCAATGGCAAGGCATTAAAAGAAAATCACTAATTAGTCCACACATTCAATTTCATATTTACAGCCTTCATTTGTAATAGGAATATAATATATAGGAATATATATTAATATAAAGGAAAACATTACTTACTTAAAATACACAAATTTCATTTTATACAATGAAAATAAATTAATTTTTAATGTGAAAAAGTCATTAAAATCCACAAAACAGGGCCTCCCCTGGTGGCACAGGCGGTTGAGCGCAGCACTGTGAAGCTGTCAGCAGCCTCTGCAGCATGGGTTCGATCCCAGCCGGCTGTGGACATACCCACATGGTGCGACAGACCTCTCCTGTCTTGCCTGCTGCTCCCTTCAGCAGTGTCTTCAAACTGTCTGCCTGTTCTGTTCCCCACTCTGTCTCTGGTAAAACCTCTCACCCTCCCACATATCTGGCCTGTACCCAGTTCTTATATGCATAAATAAATAAATCTTAAAAAAAAGTGGATATTATAGTATAGTGTACAATATGATATAATTATCTGCTAAGTGGTATAGGCTTTAACCCAGGAAGTCTGACTTTAAAGTCATGGGTCATGTTCACTGTACAGTTAATGAGTTTGTGAAGGTAGGTTATATAAAGAGATCCATAAAAAGAAAAAAAAATTAAATCTTGATTATTCCTGAAACATTTTTCCTAGCTTATACCAAAATAGTTTAGGTAACTATTTTTGTTTTAATCTTCCATAGGAATTTTAGGCTGTCTTAAGGACAGCAAAAAAAAAAAAAAAAAATATATATATATATATATATATGTTCAAGGGACTATTCTTTTTAAATAGTATTCTAATAATTTTTCCTTGACTTTGAAATCCATAGGACAATATTTTCATCAATAAAGTAAGTTCATGTAAACATGAAGATGTTTTCACTTCTCATACAGTTGTACAGTTCTCTCTGGTTATTGGTTTCAGCACAGGATTTAACACAATTTTTCTCTGTAATGGTTTACTGGTTATAAACTTTGAAGCAAACCTGATAGCTTCATTCAGTGGGCCAGTGTTTAGAAAGATCAAGAATTATGTATGCATATCTTCTATTATCTTTAACAACTACTTATAATTGTTTTCATTAAAAATACTTTATTACTTTAAGTGATAAAAACCGATACAGAGAATTTGGAAAAGAGAGATGGGTAAATCATTCATGATGGTCAAGGTATTATATTTATTGATTTAGACTACCACTCACATGTATTTTTTAAACAAAATTGAAATAATATATAAGCATTTAGGCATCCTGAAATCATGAAATCACAAACATTTTCTCTGCAGATAATGCTATTATTCTAAATAGCGTTAATGATAGTGTTTCGTATAAATACACTACACTTTTATAACTATTCGCTATTGTTATGTATTTGGATTTTCTATCTTTTTTGTTTCAAGGATTAATGCTGTAATAAGCATCTATGGACCTGAATCTTTGCCTGAGATGACAATATTTTGGTCTTTTCCAGAGCCCTACTAGGCTGGCTTTTAGGGCTGCAGGAGGAAGACTAATAATGTCCATGGTACACTAAAGGCTGGATCGTTCAAATGAGGACCTCAGTTCTGTTAGACCTCGCTATTTATGCAAGGCCAGGGAACTTAAAATAGCCTGTCTGCCACAGGTGGTGAAGTTGAACTATTTCTGCCTAACAGTAAACCAGATCCTGTTATAGATGACCCTGACTGCAAGCATCAGCCACATCTATTTTAAGTCATATTGCTAAGTGGAACAGGCGGTTGAAGGAATGTGTTAGAAGTATATTTTCCCTGGTTTTGATAAATCAAAGAGATGGGATCAGGGACAACTAATCCAGAAAATTGAAATACTCTGAAATCATTCTCCCAACAAGGAGGTGGTTTTTTTCTTCAAGGAAACCGAGTAAACTTTGGTGAAACTGGTTTACTGTCTCATAGGACAAAACACATAGTCCAGGGCATATCATCTGTATAATCTAAACCTTACCCAATAACTCCTGAAAAGAAAGGCATCAACACAGCAGCACCATATACTCTAAGTGGTCAAAACAACAACAACAAAATACCCAAAACACAACAGCTTGCTAACTTATGTTTCTAAGTACGAACATATAAGCCATTCCTTACCATACTTCTGTGACCCAGCAAAGAAAGAACGTGTAAGTACAAAGGGTCTCTCCTTCCCTCTAGATCGTTGTATCAGTCCCTTTGCAGTAGCCATTTGCTATAAAATCAAAGACAAAAAATTTCAAAGGATGTTTGGATAAGGGCATTGTGCAGCTATCCCTATTAAGCTATTTAACATGTAAAAAGTAAACAATAGTTGGGAATGTGAAATGGAAAATAATAACATAAATCTGTCAAATCATTTTTTCATGATGCGATGAAAACTAAACTCCCCTGTTAAAAGAACAGAAATAAATCATATACAGTGTTGTAAACCAATGTTACCTCAATAAAAAAAAGAACAGAAAAATTTCTTTGGCTGAAACAACAATGAAATAGTAACTTACAAATAATAAGTTAGAGTTTATTTGGTGCTTGTTCTTCCTAGGCATTTTATAACATTTTCTCATATGATCTACACAGCAACCTTGAGAGAGATTTCATTGGAAGGAAAAAACATAAACAGATTCAGGAAAGCTGTGACTCGCCCAGGTATATATAAGAAAATTCTCTAACGCAGTTTGCAGTGATAATAAGAGGCTGTTAGATAGGTAAATACTTACTATTTGAAAACCATACTATATCTAGCCAGTAGCTCCTACTGGAAAATTACCTATTGGTGTTAGATTCTGAAAATAACAAAGAGCCATGGAAATAAAGATGGGCAAGTGACTGCCAAGTCTTTTGGATGTGATTGGCAAATGGAAAACAATTCTACCCCTTCCAGTCAGAAAACTAAGTACTTAATGGTTTTTTACATATAAAAAGTATACTGAAATTATATATATGTGCTCCATATCTTACTTCCCTGATATGAATGTAATAGTTATATTTTTAGCATTTGTGAAATTGCAAAACATGTTTTAACTTGTCTTTCTTTGTGTATAAATACACTATCTACTTTAATAAAAGTTTAGATGTTGTAGCCAGTACCATTTACTAATGGCTCCTGTCAAGGAAGTGTTTATATGTTATAATTAGTCTCACAATATTCAAATATTCATCACGTTCATTCTAGAAGGAAAAGATGCAAAGGGAGAAAATGTCTTAAAGTCTTATTCGTACAACCTGATTTGTGCAACCTCATTGCAGTCATCAGAAAGGACACACAAAGAGAAATGAACAGGAGGGTATGGTTTTACAAAGTAAATACTTTTTCTGTCCAAAAGGTAGGGTGCATGGGTCCTGTTGTCTCCTTTCTGGATGTCTTACCTGATAAAAACCATAGATGTTGTGAAGTTCTCTGTGCTCCCAGTTGCCGTGATGAATGGCATTCTTGTGCATGGTTAGCTCTGGCCCTCTGAAGACGGAGGGCTCATTCATGTCGTTCCAGATGTAGAGGATGTCAGTAGATCCCTATGAAGTAAATCTTGGTCATGATAATACTTCTACAGGGATAATGTTAATGTGATGGCTGCCCTTATTTCTCTTTCCCACTTCATTTACTTACGTTTATTCTCTAGGTGCTGTCCTCTGCTCTACTGCTAGAATAAAAGCTCCACAGGGTAAGGAATTTTGTCTGTTTTGTTCATTGATAAATCCTAACCACCAATAATAGTACCTGGACTGCAGAAAGTTCTCAATAAGTATTTCCTGATGAATGAACGAATGTTCCACCCTATTGTGTGTGAAATACATTTTGCTCAGCAAGTTTACTCTGAGGCCTAACCTGGAGAACCCCTATAGGAAAGGCTGTGAATATTCATAATTAGGCTCTACATCATCCATGATATGCCACAACTCTTAAGTAGGGGTAATCATGGCTGTGCCTGATAAGGTTCTGTCTTCTCCACGATATGTTGAGAGATTTGACAGCTAAGATACTGCTTATTAGCACCACCTATAGCTTGGGTCCTACATAGAACCGTTCGCTTTAAAGTGGGAGGGGACAGTTGAGTCATCTCGTTAATGAGGTGTTGCCTCCCTTATGGAGAAACCCTGGTGCCTCAGCATTTGACTCAACAGCTATAATAGGTAGCTCATTCCATTATTTTCTGAAAATTGTGCTCCTTGTAACATCCCCACACAGGGCCTAGCTTGCCTTCTAAGATAACACGGAAAACAACTGCTGACTCCCCCACATGACAGTCTTTCAAATGCTTGGAGGTGGCTTACATGTTTCCTTTGAACTCTTCCTTCTATTTCTAAACATAGGTACTTCTCTAAATAAGAATATATGGTTTCCAAATAGTTAACATTCTTGACTGTCCTTCTTAAGCACCCTCTAAGACAGGGGTTGGTAAACTTTTTCTGGAAAAGTCCAGACAATAAATATTTTCAACTTTACAGGCTATAGGCTCTATTTTTCAATAACTCAGCTCTGTTATCATGGTGTGAAAGCAGCCATAGACAATATGGAAATAAATGAGCATGGCCATATTTACCTCAAGGTTTATCTTTGCTCTAAGTTGTCTTTTGTGTCCTAATACATGATGATCAGAAACTAGAGTTTAGTGAATAAAAGATGGAGTTGGGGAAGCAACAGCTGAGTTCAAATCGTAGGTCTTCCACTTACTTCATAGGTAAATTTTGGTTTTTAGACTTGTCCATGCCTCAATTTTCTGATTGTGGGGTTATTTCATTATAGTTCAAACTTCTGAGGGGTTAATGTGAAGATCAAACAATGCATATAAAGTGTTTAGCAAAGTGCTTGGGACACAGCAAATACTCACTTTATATTAGGCATCATATTTATATCATCATAATTGGCTGAAAACAGTGATGTAGATGTGGCCTCTTTAGGTTTTTTAGGTGATTCTTTAAAGTATAGCTGACCTACAACATTATCTTAGTTTCAGGTACACAACATCATCATTCAACCTTTACAGCTGTGGTTCTTATAAATGATATTAAGAATTGATTTTTTATTATACCTCACTTTTAGTGACATTTATACTTTGTAAGCTATTTCTATATATATCATTTCATTATTTTTAATTTCATTATTTTAAAGTAGTTACAGAATACTACTTTACATAAATATATATATCAATTTGGAAATATGAATTTCTATTTTAAAGTACATTGATATGTCACAGAGCCTGTTATAACAGAGCTCAAAATGACTACTTTTGTGCATTTAGTAACAGACATGGCATCTTTCCTGGCACCACCAATTTCTGTAATATGGTTGCCATCCTTGCCTTTTCATACAAGTATTACTTATCAAGAGCTATTTGGGGCCTCCCTGGTGGCGCAGGTGGTTGAGCACCGCGCTGTGAAGCTGTCCGCAGCCTCTGCAGCGCTGGTTTGATCCCCGCCGGCCGGCTGGCGAGGGTCCCACATGGTGCAGCAGACCTCTCCTGTCGCTCCCGCTGCTCCCCTCAGCAGTGTATTTCATCAGTCTGCCTGTTCTGTTCTCCGCTCTGTCTCTGGTGAATCCTCTCACCCTCCCGCGCATCTGGCCTGTACCCCGGTTCTTGTATAAATAAATAAATAAAAGAGTTATTTGATGAAGTAAAGTAGCTATAATCAATTACTTTCCCCCTTCTTTCACCCTTTGAAGTAACTAGGAAAGAGCAATAGAAAAAAACAAACAAACCTGATAAGCAGAGAAAGCAAAAAGACCAGAGTACCACTCTCTGACCTTGGGATTGGTGAAATCCAGGTAAGAAGAGAGACCTGCAGAAGCAGAATAGATAGCCTGTTAGGAACGATGGTCCTGATGGTAAGATGTGTTGAAAAAGAAGATAATTGGATGTGAATGCCGGATAATCAATGGGTACCTTATAGCAAATGTAAAAGCTGCTACAGTGGCATGAAGCAAATGAGGGCAATTCTGGGCTCCAGTGACAATCACTAGATCTTTCAATCTCGGAGGCCCAGGGAAGTGGCAGTTAACAAACGTCAAGACTGAACCTGCCCCTCACTAATGGCATAAGATAGTCGAAATAAGAATGGTAGAGGACAGAGAAGTGTTAATACGAGGTATGACAGGGATGGGATGCATAGGATTTCTCTACAGGGCACGGATTGTCATAGAGTGTGATAGCACTAGAGAGTCCTGTGATATGAGAGAATGGTGATTTTTATTCTTTTGTCCTTGAGCACTTTCTTGCAAGGCTTTAAACTAATAGTTTCTGAAATGAAGAATCCAGAGTTGCCAGGGGCAGCTGAGGTCACTCATCTAAGTCTGGGAATCACAACTCTGGGCTAAAAGGCAAAGAAGGGTCCCAGGGCGGGAGACTGCAGAGCCACTTTTGTTTTTCTCCTCCTCTCTATTCCCGTTCACTGGCTTTGTATTTTTAGTTGCTTAGAGAAATAGCACGTCACTGAACTTGGCTTATTTTTCATTTGCTCACTGATAAATGAATATAAAGCACACTGTACCAGGTATTATGAAAGATACAGAAGAAGGCAATACCATTTCTTTCTTAAAGGCTCTTAAAATGTATAAAGAGGCACCTACAAATAATAGAACGATGGGTGTGTGACCTTCATTAGTGGGGACTAAACAAGTAGAAATAATAAATGGATACAGTGGTATCTTACCAGGCCAGCAGACCCCTTCAAAGTCTCCCCCTTCATGATTCCTCACAAAGAAGCCCTGTTCTTTGGCCTCAGCGTATACTGAGTAGTCGGCATCAATCTTGATGTGGGGGTCACTAATGACGACCAGCTGTCAGGATAGAAAGAGTTGAAGATCTTATCAGTTCATGTGAGTCACCATAGTTCTGAGCTCAAATTTTACTCAGAAACTACTACTACTAGTATTCAGATATTTTAGGCACCAACAAGATCTTGTAACTTTTTATGTGCTAATGGAATATAGATTGATATCAAAACTAGGCCAGTGCTTTTTCATAAGTATTGCTGTCCAACCAATATGTGCTCATAAGGTAGCATTTAGGAACTTCTGTCTGTGGTGCTGGATGCTAGACATAAAGGATTAAGCAGGCAGGGTCCCTGCTCCCTAGACAACTAAGGCTAAGATAACACTGACAAAAGCAAACAAAGAAAATAAGAGAATGGTATTAAAAACAAACAAACAAACAAAACCTCCCAAAACCCAATGCTACAGGTGTACTGAAGAAGGAAGTTTGAGCAAAGCTGTGATTACAGGTCCATGACTACAGTGTTGTTCTAGCACCTCTCCCTGCCTTCCTTGCACTCTTGCTTCCACCTAGCCGAGGGTCTCCCCACCACTTTATTTGGCTAGAACATCCTTCCTCATCTCTATTTTAAAATCAATACTACATTCTAATTCTCCACTGTATTTAAATTTACATAAATTTAAATTTACATAAATTTAAATTTACGGTAAATACACATAAAATTTACCATCTTCATTATTTTAAGGGTACAGCTCAGTGGTATTAATGTATTCTTATTGTTGTGCAACCAAACTCCAGAAACCTCTTCATTTTGCAAAACTGAAACTCTATACCCATTAAAGAGCAACTTCTCAGTCCCTCCTCGCCTCAGACCCTGGCAACTATCATTCTACTTTTGTCTCTATTATTTTGACTAGGCATTACAAATGAGTGAAATTATATAGTATTTGTCTTTTTGTGACTGGCTTATTTCACTGGCATAATGTCCCCAAGGTTCATTTATGTGGGGGCATGTATCAGAATTCCCCCCCTTTTAAAGGCTGAATAATATTTCAGTTATGTCTATACCACACTTTGTTTATACATTCATTTGTTTGCTTCCACCTTCTGACTATAGTAAATAATGTTGATATGAACACAAACTTACAAATATCTGCTTGAGTTCCTGCTTTCAATTCTTTTGGGTATAGACCCATAAAAGGTAATTTTACTTTTAAATTTTTGAGGAACCATCATAATATTTCCCAAAGTGGCTGCTCCATTTTACTTTCTCATTGTCAGTGCTCAAGTACTTTAACTCATTTTCTGGTTTTTTGAAGTATCCATCCTGATGAAATGAAGTGACAGCTCATTGGGTTTGGATTTATATTTCCCTAACGATTAGGGATGCTGAGCATCTTTTCCTGTACTTGTGGTTTTTTGTGTGTCTTCTTTGAAAAAAAAGTCTATCGAGTCCTCTGCTCAAATTTTAATCAGGTTGACTTTTTGTTGTTGAGGTGTAGTTCTTCACAGATTCTGTATATTAACTCTATTCAAAAACTTTTACTATCTCTACTGCATACAGAGCAGCCAGCAAGTTCAGATTCTTCAAGTCTTGTATGTGCCTTATTTTCCTGTCAAACTTGCCTGTGTGTTGTTTTCTGAACACCACTGGGTATTCTAGTCTCTGACTGCACTGCCTTCTCTCATTCTCCCCTTCTCCATTAATTGGCGATACATCCTTCAGGGCTCATCTGAAAAGTCCCTCTGCCACTAAACAGCTGAGTCCAGCAGGCTGCAATCTTCTCATTCTGCCCATACCCTGACCTTTCTTAGCCTAGTATGTGACCATCCCATGTTGCCATCGTTTTTACTTCCTTTCCCCTCACTCACTATAAGACCCTGATGAGTTCATCTCCTCATTCCCTTCAGCATAAGCACAACATCTTGAAGATTTGAAGAACTCAATAAGTAACTGCTTATAAGGACATAGATTCTGAAGTCAGGCAGATCATGGTTCAGAATCTGCTACTTTTTCACGGTGTACTTCTGTGCAAAACATGTAATCCTTCCTTTCTACATTTGAAAAACAGGGTAACGTCCAGTACAGACTGGGTGGAATAATGTGTTTACCATATCACAGCATGTGCTTGATAGACGGGAACTGTGTATTTATGGGGAAATTGTGAGTTAACAGGATTGGCTCCAACTTCCTTCCACCTGTGAAAGGTCCGGAGATCAAGGCAGTGGGTTGAAAGGCGACTTTAAGTGCAGGGAGATGAAGCTCAGGGAACCATTTACATGATTGATATGGGTTTTCCTTTTTCTCACTCCGTTTTCTTCTCATGCTCGCTCTTTTCATTATAGCTAGTACACGACCACCACACCTGCATACACACCCTTCCCCCGCCCCATTTTCTATGTCAATTCTTTCCTTGAAGGAAAGAAGGAATTTGTTGGGAAGCACGCAGGGAAAAAATGATATAATAAAGAGTCAGACTCTTTGATGTTTAACTGGTGAGAACTTTCTAGCTCCACCATTCCCCCTTACCCTTCTGGCCCATATCTATGCAAGCTGATAAAGAAAGCCCTGGTACTCTCTCCTTTAGTCCCAGCAGGAAGTTCAGACCCTGTAAGCACCAGCCCCCACACAGGAATCCTTACCCCAGACCCATCTCTACCCACTATAAAAGTTGAGCCAGTCACCTTTCCTGTCTCTCTCAAGCCATTTCAAAGCAGTTTGGGAGAAAACCTTATTAAGTAACTAGTTAGTCTTTTCAGACCTTCTTGGTACTAGTGTGATGCCATCAATCTTGACATTATAACCAAATTTTGCATGAGGGTGACCACAGCAGGTGGAACTGAGTACGAGTTTCCTCATCCTCATGGGGATCTCAACAATTAAGGCAGAGGAGGATGGCATCACACTTTTCACCACTGTTGTTCTCTTACCACAGTTACAATTATATTTATTTATTTTTTAAGATTTATTTATTTATGCATACAAGAACTGGGGTATAGGCTAGAGATGCGGGGGGTGAGAGGAGTCACCAGAGACAGAGTGGGGAACAGAACAGGCAGACTGACTGAAATACACTGCTGAGGGGAGCAGTGGGCAAGACAGGAGAGGTCTGCTGCGCCATGTGGGTAGCTCCCTGGCTGGTCTGGGATTGAACTTGTGCTGCAGAGGCTGTGGATAGCTTCACAGTGTTGTGCTTTACCCCTTGTGCCACCAGGGAGGCCCAGTTACAATTATATTTAAAGGCACTATTTCCATAACCATTTTTTATCAGGTGGTTCTTGTGCACTAGTGTGTTTGTAAAAATTAAAGCCTGCTTTGTAATTACAAGGTTCAGAAGAGTTGGCTTATTTTACCTTACGGTTTTTGCTCCTGAGCAGCTCTTGCATCCCTTTAGGGTTTGGGAATCTTTTCTTGTCCCAGGTGAAGTACCTTTTGCCCTCAGTGTGCTCTATGTCCAGCCACATGACGTCGTAAGGAATGTCGTGGTCATCAAATCCTTCATCCACTGCTTTGACATCCTGCTCATCTTCATAGTTCCAGCGGCACTGATGGTACCCCAAGGAAAAAAGAGGGGGCATAGCTTGTGTGCCTAAGAGAGGAAAACGACAACTGAGCCAACTACCTCCACAATGATAATTATATATTTGATAAACGTTCCCTGGATGTCTGCAGGGCACTAAGCACTAAGCTTGGTACTTAGAATATCAAGAAATTGACAGTTTGGCTGAAGAGGCAGGTGTGTAAATAATATGCCCTGTTCTGAGGTACAACTGCTATGTCAAAGGTATCATCCTAGTGCTGTGGGAGCACAGAGGGATTAATAAATTCTGCCTTCACTGAAGTGCATAGGGTTTTGAAAGGCTTCTTGGAAGTGGTAACACTGATTTGGACATTGAAGAATAAGCAAGAATATACCAGACAGGGAGAATGAATAGAATATTCAGGCACAAGGAATAGAAAGGTGCAGAGGCAGAGAAGTTCAAGATAGGCTACGGGAAAAATAAACATTCCAGGGTGATTATATTGTGAGAGAAACCGATAGAAGATGTAACTGGAGAGGGTTTATTTGGAAAGGGCCCTGCAGTCAGGCTTAGAAGCCTAGCAAAACACAGATAGCCAAAGGTCACCCAACAGGGAGTTCTGTCTCCAAAGTTAGAGACAGGGATCCACATAAAGAAACAGAACAAGATGATTTCTGAGAAAATAGGGACAATGCAAGAACCAAAATAATCATCAAACCATTATCATTAGCATCTCCAAGGAGATGAAAAAAGACATTTGTACCCATAAAATAGGACTAGGTTAGCAGATTACCTTAAAAAACTAAAAATGAAAATACTGTGTGGCCCCGGAAGCCCACTCTTGGGCATCGATCCAAAGAACATGTAACCATCAACTCAGAAAACTATATGCTCCGCAGTGTTTATGCAGATGTTTTTTAACAGCTAGGACATGGAAATAGCCCAATCCCCTGCCTGAGAATTGGATGAGAAAATGGGATATAGCTACACAATGGAATACTACTCTTCTCTTGTGATCCTAGAGATAATTTTATTTCCATCCTTCCAATTTGGATGCTTTTAATTTCTTTCTTTTTTCTTTCTTTTTGGCCTAATTGCTTTGGCTAGAATTTCCAGCACAATCTACAATAGCATTGGGGGAAAAAGGGCACATTGTCTTGTTTCTGATGTTAGGGGGAAGTTTGCAGTCTTTCACCAAGTATGTCATTGGCCGTGGATATTTCATAAATGCCTTTCATCACACTAAAGAAGTTTCCTTCTATTTCTAGTCTTCTCACTGTTTTTATCCTAGAATAATGTTGCATTTTGTTGTCTGATTTTTTTGTATGAATTGAGATCTTTTTTATTCATTTTTCAAAACAAATTTTGTGCAGAACTGGGATGTAGACCAGAGGTGCTGGGGGTGAAAGGATTCACCAGAGATAGAATGGGAAGCAGAGCAGGTGGTTCTACTGAAATACACTGCTGAGGGGAGCAGTGAGGGAGACAGGAGAGGTCTGCTGTGTCATGTGGGTTAGCTCCCTGGTAGGGAATCCCAGTCAGGCCAGTGATGACAGCGCTGAGACTTAACCCCTAGGCCACCAGGGGGCCCCCCAAGATCTTTTTTCAGATGAAATGCTTTAGTTCTAAAGCTATTGTTAAGTTTTAATGAAGAATAGAACAAAGGAAAGACAAGTTGGGATATATGTCATGTGATAACCCAGGGGTTAAAGATGCTAAAGAAGGCAAGTATTAAGAGTTAATGCTTGGAAAGGAGTTCTAGATTTAGTACAATATTTAAACAAGCTGACTGGGATAAGGGGAAGGCAAGGAAATGCTTGCTTCTTCCAAAGCTTGGATACATTGTTTATAAATTCTACATGGTATGCAACACATAACTGACAGTGAAGATATATGGGCTACAGTATACATGACAAGAAGCTAGCATTTCCACATGCCAGTACCGGTAAGGTATGAATACTGCTTGAAGACATTGGAAGGTGTAGGTCCTGTCAGCAGGAAAACATCAATGATTCCACTCTCGGACATCCAGTGCACGTCAGTTCGAGATCTCACCTTTTGTTTAGCAGCAACTGGGCCCATCTGGGTCAGTGCGTACTAGAAAAGGAATGGAATGAATGAATGAAAAGATTCCCTGTATCCTACAACACCCATCCATATGTAAGTAAAAGCCTGTTCCCGTAGATACCATCAGACTTAGGTGGCAGAGAACTGCCACTACAAAGCCCAGAATTATGAGTACACTTCACTGGTTTGGTTTCTTCTGAAAGTTTGACATGCAGCCATGCTCCATAGCTCACCTCTACTTCAGGCTCTGTATTGATCTCCACTAATGTTTCTGAGGCATTCAGCCAGAAAATACCTAGAGTCCTGCCCAGTTTGTGGGCCAGGAGATAAGGCACTGAACCGTAAATGCCCATTTTATCATGTATTTTATATCCATAGACATCCAGGTTATAAAGACGGTAAACATCTCCATCACTGAAACACACAAATAAGGATTATCATCAGTTACCACCACAACTATATTATTAGTGAATAGATCAGTTCCCTGGTGTCCTATGCATCTTTCAAGGTTCAATTTTACCACCTCCCTAAATACTTGCCCTCTCAACCTGAGTGACATGAACTTTGATTCCCTTGGCATCTCCTTATGTGACATTTGACACATGCATGATTTCCTATTTTAGATAGATTCTGAATATCTTTTGTGAGGGGACGCCTGTTTCCTGTCAATCCTCCCCAATAGAATATAAACATCACTGACAAATTTTGTACATGCCTCTCTGGTACTCAAACAAGGGGTAGTATCCTATAATGCCTCACCGTGCTGGATGGGAAAAGATCAGGAATTGAATTGGGGTGGGGACACAGCTTTTGGGTTTGAGCAAGAGAAGCACAGTTTTGATGCATTTATCACAGTGTCCACCTGTGTCTGGACTTGGCAAACTTGCTCAAACTGGTTCTCTTTGATTTTACTTCCTCTTAGTCTGATGCATTTGGAATTTGTCAGTGATTTTCATTTGACATTATCTTGCTGAGGAGAAACAAGGTTACATGAGATGCCATGCTTTTCCCAGTCTCTGGCTCATTGTCCTTTTTTTTTTTTTTCATTAAAGTCTTTTTCTAGGTCAGTGTATTTTCATGACATAGTCTGCCAGGGTTCTGCAGAAAGGCCTTGAGAGGTGAAAGCAAAACCACAGAGGTGGCATGATACTCTCCTCACTGTTTCAACCACAGTAGCTCATCTTTTTACATATATATCTTACTTTTTTTAAAGTTCAGCATTAACGTTTTTATAACTACCTGATTTTTTTTTTTGCCACAAGATAAAATAAAAATAAAAAACCACTGCTTTGGGTGATCACCCAAGGAAAGTTCTTAAAGATCCGTAAGCAACATCAAGGAGGAAAAGGCTAGGAGCATATTAGCACTGGCTCAGCCATTGTCTTTTAAACATTTTCAATCCAGAAACCAGAGCCTCTTATAAGAATTCTTGTTTTCACTTTACCGAGTATTTTTCAGTTGGTGTGACTCTGCATGTTGCGGGATCCCGTAGAGATGCTCAAATCCATGCAAGGAAAAATCCAAACCGATGGAGGTAGGACCTGTAGGCACCAGGACACTGACTGAGTTTTTCTACTTAATGGGACAATCAATTATTCAGGTAACTGTGAGTGTCCCAAGATGATTGGATTAGGGGCTGAGAGCCCTGAGCTCGCCCTGATCAATCAGCAGATCATGTGTGCTGACTCCTTAAGAGGTTATATTCAGGCATTGTAAGGACACAGAAGTAAACAAGGCAAAGTCCTGGTCAGTTATGAGTTACGTTTCTATAGCTGTGTACTGAAGCTTTCTGTGTATGTAAGCTTTCTGTGTAAGGTTTTAGGTTTTTTTCCCTAACACAGATTTTCCTGACATATATTGCATACATCTTTGCTGTGAGAGAACAAAGGATACTGATCAGTTTTAATCTTTGCTAGATGGAAGACCGTGTGTCATCTGCCAGATCATTTATCCCGAATGTATACACAGGCCATATTGTCAAGGGCACCAGGTGGATTCTGGCTTTTCACAGTACCCCCTTCCCTGTGATTATAAATATATATATATTTTTTTTTTCTTTAGCCAAAGACAAAATCCTTTATTTAATAATTTACTTTAGAGACTAAAATTCACTCTTAGGTAAAAGTATTTGACATTAAATGGTCTTTATTTGGAGAAAGGGGGGGTCTATAGAGAAGGTAAGAAGGATTATGATGTTATTAAAAAAAAAAAGGAGAGCCTGCGGGCTCCCCTACTTGTAAATTTGGGGCATATTTCAAATCCTTTTCCTTATACGAGGCTTAGATAATAGATGCCAGAACAGGGATTCTAAAGGAGTTGGGGGAAGACCTGTTATTTTACAAGGTAGGGAGGAAGCAGGAAAGTGTCTTTCCAGTTACATAAACCTCCAGTATCTGAAAGGCATCTCCTAAAGAGACAAACTTCCTTCCAGACCCCTACCCCATCCTGTCAGTAAACCTAGTGAGAAATGTCAAAGATGTTCATGGGATGCCTATGTGAACATGAAGTTTGAAAAAGGTGAGAACCACTGGCTTGGAAAGTTGGGGCTGATGGGCTCTGGAACTTGGTGACATCATTTCAATCTCATAAAAATAGAATGTGGAATTTGCAGCTGGGTGATCTCCTAGATCTAATGTAAGCAGCATGCTGACCCAGGCACTTCCACAAGACCATGAACTCTATGAGGCCTGCATTTCTCTACACTTCCCACAGAAGGTATACAGCCACATTTTTCTGTTGCAATGCATTATCCAAGAACAGGATACCCAAATCTGAGATTTCATCAAATACCATCCAAAAATTAACAATAAAACAAGAAAATAATAAAAAAGACCAAAAAATCTGAGATTTGAGTTCACCTTATAGAAGTCACTTGTTTAGGTGCCAAAGCTCAAGGGACATTTAGATAATGACATTTAACTATTTTGGAACAATATGATTTAACACTATACCAGTTTCAATTTTACCATTAGCTTTGATATCCACAAATTTTCCAAATTTCTCTTCCCATAGATCTAGAGCATCTTGATTTTCCTGTTGGAATGGAAAAAAGAGCAAATAGAGTTTATTAATTGCAACAAGGATTACTATAATAGCATATTTTATATGGATTGTTAAAAAACTGGAGTGAGGGAGCCTCGCCAGTGGCTCCAGCAGGTTGAGCGCAGCGCTGTGAGGCTGTCTGCAGCCTCTGCAGCAAGGGTTTGATTCCCGGCCAGCCAGGGAGATACCCACATGCACGGCAGACCTGTCCTGTCTTGCCCACTGCTCCCCTCAGTAGTGTATTTCAGTTAATCTGCCTGTTCTGCTCCTTGCTCTGTCTCTGGTGAATTCTCTCACCCTCCCACGCCTCTAGCCTGTACCCCAGCTCTTGTATAAATAGATGAATAAATCTTTAAACAAACAAACAAAAAAAAAAAAAACCTAGAGTGAGAAAACTATAATCTTTCAAAAGACCAGTTTATGGTATTAACAAATGTTAAAAAATCAAATCTATTAAGAAAACATGTATATTCTGAATAATGCTAATTTTCCCTGTGAACTAAGCTGATGTGAATATATTTTTTATTGTGGTAAAATATACATAAAATTTGACCATTCTTAAGTCTATGTTTAATGGCATTAATTCACCCTGTACAGCAACCATTACTATCTGTCTTTGGAATTTTACATCTGCCCAAACTGAACCTCGGTACCCATTAAACGATAGTCCCTTATTCCTCCAACTCCTGGCAATCATCATTCTACTTCCTGTCTCTGAACTTGACTACTCTAGATATCTCATTTAAGTGGAATCATATAGTATTTGTCCTTTTGTGATGGGCTTATTTCACTTAGTATAATATCTTCACTATACTAGGTTGTTTCACTCATGGAGAGACTGACAGAATTTTGTTCAATGATACAGATTGTCATCTCTCTTGTAGTATGTGTTGGAATTTCCTTCCTTTGTAAGGCTGACTATAATTTATCATCCTGGTGACCATAGCAACTATCAAGGCTCCTTTGAAATTGCACATGGTTTTGATGAAGAAAAAATTTCTGGAGTGTACATTTCTCATATTTAGCCAAAAAATCTTTTTCTCCTTATTTAAAAAAATTTCTTTTTATTTTTATTGAGGTAACATCATGATTTAGAGGCATAGGGTCTCCCCCTCATGTGCAAAACAATCTTTTAAAAAACAATCAGACCATTCTCTGCTGCTTATCATCTTTCCATAGTTTTCCTTTGCTCTTAGGATAAAGTCTAAAAAGGTTAACATGTTCTAGAAGAATGTAAGCCCTATGATTATTAGGGAAGTTTGATTTGTTCAATGATCTGTCACCAAAATCTATTCTCTAGGAGGTGCTCAACAAATATTTGTTAAATAAAAGAATTATTCCAAGACTTTTCACAGAATTGCCCCTGGCTAACACACTAGCCTTGTTACATACATGCTTTGCTTTGCTTTCTCCTAACAAAAGATAATTTATATAAAATTTCTCAAGTGTGAACTTTCTGACCTCAATGTCTTTGACTATGGAAAGACATTTGGAATATTCTCTATCTGGAATATTCTTTACCCAGCTTTTTGACAGGCATCAGGCTCAGCTTTAACATTCTTTCCATTAGGAGGGTTTTCCTAACTCTCAACTTGGTCAAATTCCTTGCTGTGTCCTTTGACAGAACCCTTTATAACACTTCTCATGCAGTAATTACTTAGTGTCTGTCTTTCCAAGCAGATTCCAAGTTTCATGGGGACGGGTTGGGATCTGTTTCATTCACAAATGATTCTCCTGTCTAAGTATAACTTACTTGCCTGGCATAAAGCAGGCTCTCAGCAATTTTATATTTTTTGAATGAATGAATACATAAATGACCAAATGAATGAAATAATCAATGAGATATTAAGGCAAGCAAGAGACAGTGCTTGCCTTACTGATTTACAACCTGTAAATCAGCCATAATTTACATGTAATAGAGCATTTAACAATTACTCATCAGTAGTAGAAGGGAGGAAAAGAGCCAATTATATGCCACATAATGATGATGATGGTGTAAAAGATTAAAAAGAAAAGAAAAGTTGCTCAATCTGGATTACCTGACAGGTGTCAGTAGATGCATCCTCCTCATGTTCTTTGGTAGCTCTGTTTCAACATAAAATTGTTTCACTCACAGCATGACTGACAGAATTTTGTTCAAGGATACAGATTTTCATTTGCAACTTTTGACACACATAAATTATATACTTTAACTTATTAAAAATAACTTCATTATAAAATAAAAATTTATAAAATTGAACATTTGATTTCTTACAAAAATGAAAATATATTAGAATTTTCTTGACACTTTAAAAATATTTTTTATCAGTTCTTTTGTTATAAATGTAATACATGCTCATAATACTTAAAACAAGTAAGCAATAGAATTTTCTCTTCATTTATTACCCTAGTACAGAGCAATAGATGTACTGTCTTTCAGAATGACTGTGACAACTTATTTTCTTAACCACAGTTGTTTTTGAGTGCTCATTTCTCCCCATTCTTAACAATATTGATCTTTTATCAATCTTTTGACTCTTTGTCAATCTAAATTTTAAAAAAGATGATACATTTCAATTTGTATTTCTGTGGTCATGAATGAGGTAGACTACCTTTTTATACATTAAATGGTATTTTTATTTCTTCTGTGAATTTTCTATTCAGATTCACTACACATTAATGTTTTTACTGTACAGTGTGTTTGTACAGAATTTAAAGAATCATACTAAAATGAACAACTATGGATCCATTGGAAGCATAAGCTGCAGAAAAATCTTGTTCCTTGGGAGTTTCTGTGTGCTGCTCTTCAAATGCATATGTCTATTCCCACACCCTTCAGAGTAACACTTTACTAAATTTTGTGTAATAGCTATCTCTTATGGTTTTTAAAAATATTATTCTCACATGTGTAAGCAACCCCATATATCTATTATTTGGTTTTGCCTTAAAAAATCTTTCATACAAATAGAGAGATACTGCATATATTTTTTGTATTTTTTTCACTCATTCTTAAAATTTTTGATATCATGTTGTTAATATGTGCTAATATGCTGCAGTTTGCTTGTTCTTTTCTCACTGAGTTAAGCTTTTTATATCATATATTAATTTTTGGCTTTTATATACATTTAAAATTTTTCATTAGTATGTTGCCTTTTAATTTTTTAAAAATCAATACTTTATTTATTAGAGCAGTTTTAGGTTAACAGCAAAATTGAGCAGAAAGCAGAGTTCCCACATATTCATTGTTCCCACACATCCACAGTCTCCCCCATTATCAACATCTCACATGAGAGTGGTACACTATCAACTAACATCCATAGTTTACATTTGGGTTCACTCTTGGTGTTATGTTTTCCATGGGCTTTGACGAATGTATGATGTCATATAGCTATCATTGTGGTATCATACAGAATATTTTCACTGACCTAAAAATCTTCTGTTCCTTGCCTAGTCGTCACTCTGTTTCCTTAGTCCCTGCAACTACTAATCTTTTCACTGTCTCCAGAGTTTTGTCTTTTCCAGAATGTCATATAGTTGGATTCACATAAAATGTACTCTTTACAGATTGGCTTTCTTCACTTGGTAAAAACATTTAAGGTCCCTCCATGTCATTGCAAGGCTTGTTTAGCTCATTTTCTTTAAGAGCCAAGTAATAGTCCATTGTCTGGATATCCCACAGTTTATCTGTTTACTTACTGAAGGACTTCTTGGTTGTTTCCATGTTTGGCAATTAATAAAGCTGCTAAAAATACCTATATGCAGATTTTTTGTGTGGACATAAGGTTTTATTTATTTTTCAATTTATTTATTTTTTTTTCAT